ACAAAAGCGAGTTAAAAATTTATTTAACCATAAGCTTCAGAGACTTGTTTTAAGCTACGGCGACACCAAGCCCTGTTTTATACACAAAAATATTTAAATGGCCAATAAGTGAAACCACAGAGCCAAACGTGCAAATAATTTCACTTTACACCCACGTACATGCATATATGGTATTCCAGAGCCAGTAAGATTGTGTGAAGCACTAAAAAAAACATTCACCGACTGCGTTCCGTTGAAGAACAAAGATGATAAAGGCAACTGGCTGCTATGAACTGCCAAAAGCAGACACAGTAATGAAAATAACAACAACATGTGACTTTCGAAAACGAATAAAACCAAAGTAAGCAAATCGACTTGAAGACGGCAGAAGTTTCAGCAACAAAAAAACATAATAAATAAATAAATAAAAATTTATATCAAACAAACCAAAAGAGTTGCGAGCAAAAAGCTAACTTTGTGAATATTGTGTCGCGAAGAATACACCAAATGAAGTAGAGGTAGACTGAAATATAATGGCAAGGCATGAAAAGGAAGTAAAAACACTGCCAACACATGGCAAATAAGAATAATACAAAGTATAAAGTAAAATAAAAATAAAAAGGGAAATGGAAAAAAATGTGTACAATTGCAATTACAACAACAAGAAGCGCGATTGCACTTCCCAATTCTGACAATGAGCAATTTCAGCAGGTCACGACTTGCGTTAAGAGCAGCCAAGAACACACCACTACAACAACACCGCTGGCGCTTTCGAAACGCCTTGCCGAATTTTTTTTGGCCTTCGTCGTGTGAATAACAAAAACGATGACTACATTGCGTTTGGATTTTTCGACTCACAAAAAAATTTTAAATTAGGTATAAAAAAAAAAGTGATAATGAAAGCCCGATATAAAGATGGCATAAGAGAGTTAAATAAAGATAAGCAGCAAAAAAATATGAATTTATACAAATAAATGGATGAAATAAAAAACATTTGCTTTGCAATTCAAATTCGTAATACATAAAAGGTTTAATGTAAATGAAACGATTCACACTGCTTACTAAAATATATGATTTTGCTTTTCATGACTTTGGGCGATGACGAATATTTTTAAGAGAACAAAAAATATAATTAACTTCTGCTGTTTATCACACTTGTATGTCACTAATTATAGCAGTAACTTTGATAACATTCATTAAAATAAAGTAAACAATAGAAAACGTTAATGCATCGTCCTTAAATTAATTGTGATAAAAAGTTTTAAAAAGATTACAAAAAAAATACTTATACAAAAAACAAATAATTTATAATCGAAAATAAATAAACTATAAACTATAAGTAATAATAAATAATAATAATAAATTCAAGAACTTAAAAGCCAAAAGATTGTCAACTAGATAAGTATTTAATTGATTAAATATTTTTCAGACTCGACTTATGAACCACCCTGTTATAGTGAGTTGCACCATAAATTATAAATTTGGCAAAATTTTTTTATTTAAGAACATAAGAACTTATTAGAATTCAATGACTCAATAAAATGCAAAAACAGGCATTTAAAATGAATTATTTGCGCAAAGTAGCTATTATGAAACACTAAGCTTTCCTCAATAATAATCGATTTAAGTAATTACAGGTACTATTTATAAGAAATTGCATTCGTAATGCCATACAAATAATAAAAAAAATTATTGATTGAAGGAGAAAAACTACAATCGAACTTTTTAATCTTATCAATTAAAAGTATGTGTATATATGCATACATACATATATGGTTGCACGAACTATTAATAATATAAAAAAAATCACACAAACTGTTATACTCAAAAGTATAATATTGTATAAGTTGAGTTATTCAGTTCCAGTTGTTTAATCATTTTTCAATGAACTTGAAACAAGTGGTTCATGAATCAAAATAAATACATATACACATATGCAATGTGATAAAATAATTTACAAAATAAAAATAGAAAAAAGTACATTCTCGTTACTGAAGTGTAACCTGTTGTTAATTATCTGAGTATGTACATATGTACATTTATGGACAAAATAAAAGGTGTACCAAACTTTTGATTTACGGGGTTAGGGGTAGTCAGAGGCACGAAAAAATGAGAAGTTTCAGTAATTTTTTTTTAGTTTTGCGAAAAACGCATTTACAGTTACTCGAATAACTCAAAAAGTAGTTCTCGGATCAACTTGAAATTTTTCAAGATACTTAACGAAAATGCACAAAAAAAATGACTTATTTGAAAATTCTAACTACCCCTAACCCTTTAATAGCTTTGCAATTATAAAAATTTTGTTTCAGTTTTAAAACTAAGTTTTCTTTCCATAATATGAAATATCATTGGTAAAAAGAATAGGTGTAAAACATTTATTTTTCTAAATAAAAATAAAAATTCAAGTTATTTTTTAATTAGTCCATGGGTTAATAATAACCTGTATATCCTTCATGGTTTTGTATAAGTATTCCAATTCTATTTGGCACAGGTTTTTATTAATCTTTGGCAGGTTCCTAATGTGATAGCATCCTTAATTGTCTTTATGGTATATCTAAAATCAATTTTTTTTCTTTTCAGTCGGCGGCAGGTTCTTTTAAAATCATTTCAGTAAAGATGAATCTTAGCCCCAGCACTGAATAACACATTGCGCCACTTTTTTCCATAGTGAAACCGCACCAATTTTTATGTTCAGCGGCAAAATCTTTTCTCGTGTGTATGTGGACTTTTCATAGAAGCGGAATTTTTCTGACCTTACGTCCCAGTAGATTATTGTTCACTAATAGATGCCGAATTGTCTGCGAGCTAACATTTAGTCCAACTTCCGCTAAAATTTGTCTGAAGTCGCAAAAGGATCCTTTTTTAGCTACGAAAAATATACGGCGAACATTTTTCTGGGATAACCGAAAGTTTCCTTTAAATTTTTTTTGCTTTTTTTTTTACAAAATAGTCATAAAAGTTGCAAATACCTAAGCTCTACTATTTCGCCTTCATCGTAAAAATTTAATGGCATTAAAAAAAGGAACAGTTACAACACTATTTAGCAATAAAACAGTACCAGCTAAACGTACACCAATTATTTAGTCAATAAGTGTATATAAAACATTGTATTTGTGATAGGTAATTAAGAAATATTATAAAATTATTTTCACAAGAATTAAGTGTTTGGGTGTCATCGACTGCTTATCACGAATCATCTATCTACTATTTGGTTGGTGGAACAGTTTATGAATAGCCAATACTTTTTACGAAATAAGAGGGTATAAATATCTTATATAGTAAAGTAATTTCTATACCTTGTCAAATTTAAAATTTTTCTTTATGTTCACATATATATATACTATAATGTTATAGGAACCAAATAGCCCACGCAAAGCAAAGTAACAAATAAGTTAAAATAAAAAAAACACGAGCAAAGCGAAACAAATGTATTTCTCCATGTGTAGCACTTTCTAAGGTATTTGCTTAACGGCTTGTTTTCGTTCTTAACAAATTCACCGCATAGCGATTCTACCAACTCTACTAGAATTACTTGCAGAATCAGTGTGCGTGAAACCTTAACTAAAAAATGTGGACAAATATGTACACACTTATATCTACAATATATACATATGTATATAACAAAAAAAAAACGTTCGCATAAAAACCACTATTATCCGTTTAAATCAAAACGAAGGGAGAAGACGTTATTGAAAGGTTGCTATCAGCAATAACAGCAACTTTCACAGTGCCATGACTACAACAATTGTAAAGCTGTTGGCAAGCAATACAGTGGTGTTCAAGAAATCCTACAGCTGCAGGCAATGTACCACTATTCCCACATCTTTGCGCTTAATTTCAGAAAGATGTTTGCGTTACAAAGTGTGACTGTATTGTCAGCTGAAGTGTGAGTCAGAGTTTATTTATGTATGAGTGTGTTGCGGACTGTTTAGTATTCCCATCATTTGGCTGCGGTTCGATGCGTCTGTTTCTGATTTAATGGACAGTAGTTTTAACGCTACTCGCTTGCTAGTTGTATTATTGGCCGAAGTAAAGTGTTTTCTTCTCAGAATACTTTGCTAATTTTATATGTTGCTGCAGATTTTGTAAAATATAGTAGATACATAATATATGATATTGATTCTCAGAGAAAATAACGAGTTCGAGTCAAGCTGCTTTATTTTTAAAAAATATAGAGGGTTCGGATTAGGTTTGCTAATATTTAAATATTTGTCAAGTCATTATTTTATCATAAGTATATATATGCACATATCATTTAAGATATAATTAATTTATAATTAAAAAAAATATGTATATTTCAAATATGCAAATGACAAATTCCACGGAAAAATGTGGTGTTATTTATTGAAGTTAACCACATTCCTACGTACATACCATATTTACTTATAACTACTCAGGAAATTCTACCTGTCAAATGAGCAGAGGCATTATTAGGTGTTTACTTGCTGCATATTCATACTTGTATGTGTGTTTATATGAAATTAGGCACATGTAGATATGTAAAAAAAAATGTATAAGATAAAATTGTAGTGAAATATAATAAGCAAATTAGTGACCTGTTAAATAGCGGATCATGGTATACGACCTAACTTTTAGATATATCTACATATATATGTATATCCATCTGCAGAATGTTTAAAATATATTGAACAGAAACAAATACGAAGAAAAATATAAAATTTAAAGGCGTAATAGCAGCAAAGATATATTGATTATGAATAACGTAAACTGTATAACGACGACGCAATTCTGAACACAAAAACTTCAGTCGTTTTTGTTGTTTGCTGACTAATGTATAAAGATCATATTGCGACGAATAAAAATAATACGACACATACACATACATACAACAAATGACGTATGTATACATACTTTAATTGCCAGTGAGCTAGCACTTTTATTTTTTTTTAAGCGGTTATTCGCATTTAATTTAATAACTTTGCTCTTCATTCCTTTGAAACAATGATATTTTACTGAACTTCCAACATTATGACATTAGGTTAGAAATCTTGTAAGCTTACCGACTCCTCTTCCTTCTCCATGCCACTAGGCATTTGTGGCACAGCACGATTTATAGCCGAATATTCAGGCAAATCAGGCAGCTCCTCGGCCAAGTAGATGGGCATCTGCTTGGAGGGATCGAGCGCACGCGCTCGAAACGATAACTTCGACATGATGATATTACGAAGATGTGTGTATGTTATTTATGAATGCAACGGTGGTTACTGTTTTTTTTTTTTACTTCTATTACGTTTCCTGACTCTTCTTGCACTCTTCTTCGCAAATGTACGCTTCGTTAGTAGTCGACTTGATTATGCCAAGATTATGACCGATAAGATACGTTTTATGATTTGGATTGTTAATGATTATTTTATGTTGTTAATGAGCTTGCTTGTCTGCTAGCTAATGAAGTTTGTTCTTATGAAATTAAGAGCTCTCCGCTTTCTATTATCTTTCCTTTTTTTAATATTAATCTAATTTAAGCGTACTTTTTCACGCCAACAAGCAAATGCTGTAGCTTTCGCGATTGTGACGTTGACTTTCGTTGTTGCACAAAAACGTGTAACGTCGACGATAAGTCTAATTTTATGTTGGAATGCGTCGACTGCTGCTTGTCCTGCAGCAGCGGCGTTAAACTGCTACTAAATAGCCTCTGTGCTGAAGAGGTGGAAAACGGCTTCTTGTCGTTATTAAGCAGGTGCTTCGAGGTAAAGGAGCTGTCTTTGAAAATGTTATGGGGTGTAAATGTAGGATGCAAGAAGAGGTGTGTGAGATCCACAAAATTCGGTATTATAACCACCGCTACAACTCCTGATTTTTTAAATTTTATTGTGGTAGTTACACTTGGTCGCCAAGTGTAGATGTTAGTATTTGACAGATGTAATAGCGCGCCTTGCGGACTGTTGCTATCGTTGTTGACGCTGTTTCTGTTGTTAGTACTTATTCGATAATCTTTGTTATCGCTTTTCGCAAACCAACAATATTCCCTTTTTCGATGTTGTTTTTCCAACTGTGGTTGTTGTAGTAAACGTCGATCAGTGGTAGTTGCTGAAACTCTATTTTTTCTGTTGCTTTCCCAACAATTGCTTCTAGTATCGTTGTAGACGCTGAGCTGGTCGGTAGTTTTAAGGGGAGTGAGAATATATGTATCGGAACTTTGGCAATTGCTGTTAACAATAAAATTACTTTCTTTTGTTACAGCTCCAGTACACACAACTAATTTATCGACGCAGTGTTTAACGCAACCAAGACGATAGCTTGGGATGTTGATTTTTAGTTTTGATTTAAAACTGCAGCAATTATTATTATAATGCTGTTGATGGTTAGGGCAAGATTTATTGTTATTGATAGTTTTCTTGCTGACGCTGTTAGAACTTCCGTAAAGCGTGGACAACAGCGTTGATATCAACAACAAAATGTAGGCGAGAAAGTTATTGCAATTACAGCACTGCGGTGGTAGCAACGACAACGACGAGCGGTGCAACAATGGAATCGACGACATTTTTCAAGTTGAAATCGAAGAAATCAAATGAATTGGCATAATTACGTTGATGACTTTTGCACATTTCATTGCAACATTGTAATTCTCTTACACTATTATTTAAATATTATTATCACACTAACACGTTTATGTTTTTTATTTATACACAATGTTTTCCAGTCGCCGAATTTGTTTGTTGCTATTTTTTTGCTTTAACTTCTGCTGTTGTTTTCGGCTTGTTGTGCTGATGTTAAACTTCGCTTCCTATTTCTCCTACCTGCGAGTATATCTTCCTTTTATTTTGGATCTGCTCTTTGTAATTTTTTACTCCATTATTACTTTTACAATTGTTATACCCTTTTTAGTTCAATTTAATATCTGCATTTACAAGGGATTAATACTAAATATATTATTTCTAATTAAAATACTCGACTTTTTCTTATTTCATATGAATTGTTGTTGTGTATATTTTCTTTGTATGCTTTGTATTACTTTCCCGGCGAATTAAAATGACAGCTGCATAAGAATGCATTGTCAAAAGAAATTAGAAAATTAAGAGATCTCTTTATAAATCCAAATTTTGTCACTTTTTCATGTTGTTGTTTTCATTACATTATATTAAAATGAGCATTTAGATGCATTTTAAAAAAGACCACTTATGAACGCATTTCTGTTCAATAATTAAAATGGCTGGAGGCAGCTTGCAGGTAGGCTCACTTTCCCGCATTTTTAAAACTACATAAACAAAAGTGGTTGCAACACTTTTTACAAACACAAACTGCTTTCTCAAGCGAAGTCATAGCCGGGGCGGGATTATCACGACGCTATACGAAGCGATACGGCGAATTTGTACAAAACAAATACAACCCGGCGAATTCACAAATGCTTTCTCAGCATTAATACAGCGCCGAAAAAAACACGGAAATTGAAGAAAAAGGGCAAAATCACGTAAAAAATAAACGCCTAATTACAATTTTTAACGCACATATATAAACTATAAATCATTCAATGACGCCGAAAAGTCATCAATTATGTTACAAGAATACGTCTCAACACCACATAAAACTTTAAACACTTAAAACTTTTCAGAAAATTTACAAAGAAAAATCACAATTTTGCAGAATAGCGTGGTTTTGGCATAAAAGCCATAATGGCGGAAGACTAGTCGTCGACGATATTCTCGTCAGCGTTCGCGCTAACCGACAAGGAGAATATGTATGGAATGTACACGATAGTGCCGGTTATCGCATTTACACTCAAGCCCACCAAGCCAATGCTACACAAACGTAGAGTAAAGTCGAACAGAGCCAAAGCAGAAAACACAAAAACATGCTACAATAAACGACAACGACCGAACCGAGCACGTTGCTTTTCTCCGAATCATTATTATATACACACTATTTTCAACTCTTTTCCGCACACGCGCTTTAAACATACACAATATTTCCGATTTTTTTCGAAAACTATATATTCAGCGCAACTACTCGCACCTAAATCCGAATTTTCGAAAAACTATTGCTCCGCGCACGCTATCCAGCGACCGTTACACACACTGATACAACGTTCCTACCACCACACCAACAATGAGACGCGTCGTTTACTAGGGTATTTTGACGAACTTGTAATTCCATCTTCGCGTCTATCTTATCGGTTGCACACTACACCTCCAGCCATCCACTTAATACAATGCGCATACCCTTCTTACAAAAACAAAATTTCCCGAACCAAATAGCTGGGCTAAGCATACTTCGTGCACACACAAATACACCCGTGCAAACACGAAACGCAATATGCGCCATATAATCTTATTCACTACCGACCTCTCGTTCACACCCCTTCTTTCTGAAATGCGTGCGAGTGAGAGGCAAATAAGATGACCATTATTTTTCGGGTCGGGTAAATGGCGAGTACCATGAAAATTTTTTTTCACCAAAATCGATCAAATTCGATTAATTCCTACTTTTTTCACAACGTATTTTCTGCACTTAAACTCCGCTACTTTCACATATTTTATATGCGAAACACTACGCGCAATCGTTAATTGTAAATTTCAATTAGATTTTGGAAATAATTTCCACTTTTTGCGTTAAAATTCGTTGCCAATTGTGCAACGACACGACTTTTTCACAGGGGCACGTTCTTCACTGAACGTAATGGCGGCTCGGCTAAAATCTTTCCGAATGCTTTCGGAGTTGTAGTGCTACTTGCGAAATAACATAAATTAAAACACCTCATTTGAGGACATAAAACATGGTCAAAATTGTATGCGAATGCATGGAAAAATCGGGAAAATTTTCAAATAATTATTGAAATAATGTTTTTGAGGTGTCAATAAGGTTTAAGTAGAAAATTCTTTAAAAATCTTGCTTGTTCTAGTAGCGAATGTTCGAATTCATATATTCAGCGCTTACGAGTATGTTCAGTTAACAGGGTGTAGCAAATAATATGTAATTTCAACTAATATTTTGTATTAAACGTATTAGGAAATAGCTGAAGATTGGTGATTACCAACATGTTATAATTTTCTTATCTCTTTTTTTTAAATGTTTAGAGTTTAGAAAAAAACGGTAAATGTATAGTTTTGGTCTCCCAACTATGGAGGCCTCAAAAATTATTTTTTTTTTTAAATCTTCTTATTTTTACGCGAAGATTACAAATCCGTGAGCGGAAAGTGAATTTTTTCAATAATTTATATATATATTTACAAATATATTTTACGTACTTTGCACATATTTTCTGCAGAATTAAGATCACTAAGCTGTAATTACCAGTTCAGTGAGATAAACATTTTTTTGTGAAAAAAAAAATACTGAAGAAATGTAACAGTCACAATTTCTTTTGCGCCGCGATCTGATGGTATGAACGAACATCGGAGATCGTCGAACTCCTTTCCGCACTGGCGGTCTTCGGCCGCGATTCAAAAAAATAACTGGTCGGTCCAACACCGGGGTGTCCATAGTTCTTTTGTCCCGAACTCCTTTCAACATTAAAAAATAAAAGAATTAATTTAAATGTGTCAAAATTTTTTATTTTTAATGCACATTTATTTTAAAAATTAAAAAAAACGTTTTCTTTGTTATTATTTTTTTTTTTTGAAAATATATTATAAAAAATAGGATTATTGAAGAAATTCACTTTCCGTTCACGGATTTGTAATATTCGCGTAAAAATAAGACGATTTAAAAAAATACCATCTATGCAAAAAGTTATGTGACTTCAAGAGAACCGATTGTTATAAAAAATTTGCGACTTTCCTAATTGCTAACACCCTTAGATATGGAAATTCCAATAAAAATTCTGCCAGTGTACTAATAATCGGTTTCTTCCCAAACCGCTTATACTCAGCTATGCTTAATAGTCTCATTGTTATTATTATTTTCATAACTCTGTGTGATAAGACACAGGTGAACGGTATTAAAATGCTCCGACACCGGCACTGATAAGAAAACTCCCCTGTGCAAAAATGATACGCGTAAATAGAAAAGATTGAAATAAAAAACAATTATTGTAGATAATACTGCAAGCTATACAAATACAAACACTCACAACACAGGTCTAAATGCTAGACGTGCAAAAGCAAGAGAATATAATTGAGATTAGGAATTGAAGAATTGATAACTAACGACATTTGGTGAATTATTTGACGGCATGTTGGTAATACTTTTTCTTAACTGATATTGGAAGTCAGTCGTTATTACACATTCATGTCGTACACTTATAATTCGTAGTTTTTAGTGCGAATTTAATAACGGTTAAAAATTGGCAATGGCTCATTGTTTGTTTCCACAGCTAAGCATTACGTATATTTAACAGTTAGACGGTTAATGTTATCGATAACGCCGTTATAATCGATTCTTTATTTCATATAATTATATAATTCAAGACTTCGGTGGAATATCGTATTTGTGCTTGAATACGATAGCAGAATAGTGAACAATGCAAACACAATTCCAAATCTATAAATCTAAGCAAAATATTGTTTAAAAATAAACTCAAAATTGGTTTTGAACAAATTCTCATACATTTCGCCGTGTTTTTATGAAAATAATAGTTCCACGAAAATTTTAAAGTACAGCAAAGGAATGTAAAAATGTCTAAGCAAAATGAATCACCATAAGATGATATGGGAATCCACTCATCGTAAATTAATTTTGCGCTGATAAAATAGACGCCTTATCAATAAACTCAAGATATTTTCGTATGCTTACCACTTTTCACAAAGCTAATAGTGATTTACTTTGTTTTGTATATGACTGCATACCTTCATTTGTCACTTATGTAAGTCTTAAATACCCAACGCCCACTTAAGACATATTGGAAACCGCAACTATGTATATTTATGCGTAATAGTTTTCCTTGAAACGTTTTGGTTGGCGTTAACGACTATGGATAACAATTACATTAGTACACCGAACGACTTCCAGCACATGGAGGGCACCGAGTCGGTGGAATTGAAACGAACGTTCGCACTCGATGGTATCGGTGAGGACGAGACCTTACGACTGTATTTGCGTAAAGCGGGATTATCCGACGAAATTGAGTACTTGACATCCGAACAGCGACGTGCCTTCATTTACGATATCATTAAGAGCAACAAAATGCCTGGATATTGGGTGGTAATAATTGCATACATATGTATATAAATGTAGAATAATTGCTTGGTTCGAATATAAAAAACAATCTTTGAAAGTGACCTCTCTCTTACGGATCTACATATTCCAAAATATGAAGAGAAAACGCCTTATAGAAAATACTTGATTTCGTTGTTAAACTCGAATCTCAAATGCGTGTCAAAATGTGAAAAACTCACAAGTCTTCTTCCTCGTAAATCCGATCTCAAGTTATATCAATAGCTCTTTGTTTTATGTGTCTCAAACTGTTAACAATGAAAGCAAGTGTAGGTCGTCTAGAAATATAGCTAGTATACTGATTCGATTAACTACAAAGTTATGTTTTTATGAGACGGTTCGTAGAATCTCCCATGAGTAATCACCCATATCTGGCAGTAAGAACGGGGCTATTAATAATATTGAAGTAAGAAAGCAAAAAATGTATTAAGTTTAAGTTAAGTTTTATTTTCTGTCAATCGTTATGACTTTAAACTCACAGTCGAAGTATCGTAATAGTTTGGATATTAGGGTTCCTTGTGTTCTTTCAATATACTTTTATTTCACCAAAGTTTCTATTTGGCAGATTGCACAAATGTATTCTTAAAATAAGTATCCTCTGGCATAGATGCCACTCAAACTGACCGATCGCCACCAAGATACCCTTTTATGCTAAAAAAACAATGAACCTGAGAAGGGTATTTAGTTAACGTTTTCTCTTGCTTTAAAATCCGTCCGTGGAGAAGCCCACTTACATACTTGGTCAAAACAAAAGTATGAGTCTGATTCGACAGAAATTTTGAATATAGATAGCTAATATACGAAATGATAGTATGTTATAGCCTCTTGCATTACTGGCGCTAGCGGGCGAAGAAGCTAAATATAAGATCAAAGTAGTCACATACGTACAAGGTATGAAATGAGTATCTCAAGGAAATTTAGGCTGACGAGCCGCACTTAAGGTTGGCAGTTGTGTATCCAAGGAAGTTAGCATATGTCTATGCTATTTGTTTCGTTTAAAAATTATGCAGAGATATTGCTGTGAAACTTTTCGTTCAAACAATATATGTATATACATATAATTCCTATACCCTAAAATTGTATGCATCTATTTATAAAGAGCTTTCGGTTTGTTCAAGTAATCTTTTGCCTTGTTATCGTTGCATGTTGCTTTGTTGTAAATGCGGGGTTGTTCTGTTTACGTATACATGACTTTGTAAGTGCGTTCACTTCTCGTCTTATTTTTTGGACGATCCATCAGTTCGCCTCCATCGGTGCATGGTTTCTGTATGATGTTGAAGACGTGGCCTCTGCCCTGGTATTTAAAATTGAAGCTCTATTTCATCTACGGAAACCAGCGAAAAACTGCGAATACTCACTTCCTCCACTAAAGCTTCCTAACCTTTTAGGCTACTTCATCTAGTACAAGAAATATTTAGAAATAGCAGCGTTTACTGTGAAACTAGAATAAAAACTATGTCAATTTCTAAGAAGTTTTGTTCTCAATCAATCTGGTATCAAATAGCGCTGATAAAATTTAAAGGCTACTGAGCTTTTATGTTTAAAAAAGTACACTTTAAAGACTCGACTTCAAATTTTCAGCCTTCCACAGTGAAATCGCCATCACCATACAATTTACAATCAACACCAACAACTAGTAGTCGTACACCACCACCACCGCCTTTACGCAAATTCACCGCCACAAGCAACAACAGCTCAACTCCATCGCCAACACTCAGCTACGCCACTATGAGCGCAACTTCGTCAAGTAACAGCTTAAAAAGCTTAGAAAAAAGTAGTCCTATTGTACCGCGTCGATTTGAGCCGACACCACCTACACCTCCTTCGCCATCAACATTTGTGACTAGCATTAAAGGTTCGAAATACGAGATAAGCGGCCCGATGAACTTCCAACACATAGCTGGCGATATGACACGGGATCGGACGCGCCATGCATTCGATCTTACGATGACAATGAATGATAATGTATTGCGGAAATATATGCTGGAACGCGGCATAACGGAAGAGGACTTGATAGGCATGCGCAAACAGGATATCATTAAAAATATCGTGCAATCAAAGTTCACTTGGATGGTAAGATTTTACAATCAAGTGCAGCAAGACGATATTTCCTTATTAAAAAATATTTTTTTTTGTATTTCCAGCCACCTAAGCGTAATGTTAATGGCACTTTAAGTCATCCTCCACAAGATATAAAGTACGCTACTGTATCCTCCGGCAGTGATCATGGTCTAATCACCTCACCAAGGTTCTCACGACCGAAAAAATCAATGCACGCTCCCTCGCCACCTCCACCAATTACCTGGGTTTCATCATCTGTACCAGCTACTAAGTCACAACCAGAAGCGGTACTACAACTACCACCAGCAGCGGTACCGCCATCAACACCACCTCCAAATTCAAATGTGCCGTTAAAAACGGCCACTAATGCATACTCAAGTTTGAACTTATTAGCCGCGAGTTTCGCCGATCCCACCGATTTCCCTTCTATCGAAGATATTTACAGCAACAAGACAGAAATCGAAGCAACATCGTGGCAAACTTCCATGAAACCGAGGCTGACTTTAAGACAAGCGCCTCCTCCACCCCCATCTGCACAACCGAAGACATTCATTGATGCACCACAACAGCCAACACCACCAGGTCTTGTCAAGGCAAACATGAAAAAATCGTCAGTGATTTACCATTCCAATCAGAGTTTGTACAGCCTCGACGAATGGACAATTGATGAAGATGCTGCTGATAGTGAAAAATATGGAAGATCGAATGCCGGCGCACGAACGCCGCCGACACCTAGCGATAGCAATTTGTATGCTTCTGTAAATCCAATAAATAAACAAAATAACATCAAAATTAACGCGGACCTCGGAGTATATGCAAGTGTTGGTGTTAGAAAACAGCTTACTGGACCACCAACACCACCGAAGCCTACGCTAAAGCCATCATTTGCTGGACGAGCTTCTAAAGTGGGAGCACCTAACCCTCCACCGCCTTCACCACCAGCTCAACAAATTTCAGTTACGAGTGTCCTTGTACCACCACCACTACCTCCTACTAGTGGTGCGTCTATTGCGCCACCACCTCCATCTCCACCTCCTACTGGTGGTGCACCTATTCCGCCGCCGCCACCGCCTCCTACTGGTGGTGCGCCTATTCCACCGCCACCACCACCCGGTAATGGTGCACCGATGTCATCACCATCTCCCGCACTAAACACTACAGCGAAAGGAAGCAGACCACCATCGGTGCCTACATCTAAAAATAATGATATCGGCGATGCGCGTGGTGCTTTGTTAGATAGTATTCGGAAGGGTGTAGCATTAAAGGTATGGCATACCGATCACGTTTTTTTTCTTAATTCTGTTATGGTTTTTTGTGTCATCCACAGAAAGTCGATCAGAAAGCAGCCACAATTAGCGGTGTAAAGCCACGCGCCGAACGTAAGCCGCCAGTTTCTGATTTCCTTTCCGAACTTAAACTGGGTATAACGCTGCGTCGCGTGAAAGACAAGGCAGATAACCCATATGCTGGAGAAGATCCAGATGAATCCCAAGCTTAAGGAAATTATTTGTACATATGTATATACTATAAATGAGGTTTTCATACATACAAAAATCGAAACCAATTCACAGCATTGTTTTAATATTGAGATCTTAGACCAATGAGTATCACCAACAAATTTCTATGCAAAACATTTACTAGTTTAGTAACTAGAGGAGTTCCTTGGTAAACTACGGTATTCAAATTATTTTGTTGACTGTATGTAGTAGATATGTTCATAATACCCGACAAAAAGAGAGCCTAAAAGTCTCGGAACGGTTACTAAATTTTAAGAAAAGCTTTTTTTTTACCAGAAATACACTCAAATAACAGTTTATAACATTGGAAGACTACTTATATAAGACACTTGTTCATTTTTGTTGGAGAATGGGTTCGAAACCAGGTATAAATATCATTAACACCATTTATATATACTTTCTTGCATGGAACTATTTTCTATGTGGGCGGACTCTGTCGCAAAAAAGGTTGCCGATAATCCCACTTAAGTCTTATAAAAGCTCTGTTTATAGAGGGAATAAAATTGGTTGTCATGTCGTAATATTTGCGGTGCAAGATATATACTTATATAAAGTCGTAATTTACCCCAATTTTTATTTAATTCCAAAAACATTGAACTCAATTCAAAGCACGAGAAGTCAAAATCAATTAAGACAAAAGCCCTCATGGTATAATGAAGTAAAATAACGCAAGGTGCGAGTTTGTGCTAACATCGGGGTGTCGAAAATAAGTAATTGTTTGATCCTCTTATCCTCACCGTGAAAAAAGCGTCTTATATTCGTTTCATGTAATACAATTTTTATTGTTTCAATTTCTAAGTGCTAGGGCTTAAGTATAAGTCAATAATATCTGTTAATATGTGATGCCATTCTCGGCTTCTTAGTATTTGTGATCAGCTACAAATAAACTTTGTTCCGCTTTAAAGGGCGGTATGGAACCAGCAACATATTTACCACTTCTGGCTAGCGAACTCGCCTGTAAAAGTAAACAAAGATCGCAAATTAATAATATGAACCAGTAAGTACAACACTATTTTTACTTTAGCCCTCTTCTTAAGCTCGGCCTGACCAAGTGGTATGTTTTCTTTTTTGCCAGCCCAAGCTGCCATCGCCGAAGCTTGTAGTGCACGTCCGTAAGAGAATGAAAGCTCCCATGGCCGTTTCAAGTTTATAGTGTTTATAGCATTTAAATGGACTGCAGCCTCTTCCTCCGATTGGCCACCGGAAAGGAAAACGATGCCTTTAAATAAATATATAAGAAGTCGATCAATAGTTAAGGATATGTACATATGTATGAATATAAAATAAAATTTGATATCCGCAAAGATCTCTTGGAATTGTGGAAAAATAAACAAAAATATAAAGTTAGTGCCCTGAAGAAATCGCGTCATGGATCATAAGGGGAGAAGATAAAAGGTTACAGGAATTACAGGAAAACATTATCGTGAAATATATAACGGTATTATCTTGAGAAGATCTGTTATATTATAAGTTATAAAAAGTATCACAGTAAAATATTTAGCCGAAATATTGCGAATAAGGAAACGCTCCGACCAAAATATGCTCGGAAAATATTTCCGATACAAAAATTAGTAAATGGGTTCATACCTGGTACAGCAGCTGGTACTGTCCTAAGAAAACTTTGCACAGTTATATATGCTACTTCCTCAGGTGAATTCTTTCGGCAAGAACTTTGACCGGGTAATATCATATTCGGTTTCAGCAGTGTGCCCTCCAAGAACACGTGATGATCATTCAATGCCTTGTATTGAGCGGCCAAAACAGTTTCCGTCACCTTTTTTCATGAAATTTCATGGGTTAAAATATGCGAGGACATGCGTTTAGAAAAATGGCGTACCTTTTGAGCTCTAATGATGTCATGATCACCATCGACCAGCACTTCTGGTTCCACGATCGGTACAATGCCCTGCGACTGGCATATGGAGGCATAACGCGCGAGAATATTCGTATTCTCCATAATCGCCTGATAAGAGGGTGTATGTTTGCCGATCTTCAAAACACAACGCCATTTCGCAAAATCACAACCATCACGTTTGTATTTGCCGCAACGGCAATAGAGATCATCAAGACCCTCTGTGGTACCCTCATCTAAGGAACCAGGCAGCGGTACAATGCCCTTATCCACTTTTATTCCCACGATTATGCCACGATGTCGCAGCAAATCACCAAATGTCTTGCCACTATCTGCTTTTTGGTAGAGAGTTTCGTTATGTAATATAACACCCGATATGTAGTCCGGTAGATTTTCGGTCGTAAACAAGAGTTGGCGATATTGACGTCGGTTTTCTTCGCTGTTTGGTAAATTGTACGGTGAAAATCTTTTTTCCATAGAACCGGGCGATTCATCGGCCGCCAATATACCTTTGCCCGGTGCCACTATTGCATTAGCGATGCGGCTGAGCTCGTCTTGTAAAGCGCACGGTATATATTGATAGTTGGTGCCCATTTGTTCGATAACTATTAATTTTGTTAATTTGCCAAATTTTATTGAATTTTGTTAAAAGGTGATTGTTTATTGCATTAAAATTTTGATGTCACTACAAATACTATTCTGTTTATTTTTTAATTAATTGAAAGATTAGACTGTGGCCAATTCCAAAATATTGAATATTTATTTACAATTGTAGCGACTTTCATTATATATCGTCGAGGTCGTCCTTAACAAGTTCACCTTAAAAGTGAAATAACCGACGTTATATAATGAAAGCCGCAGGCGAGAGCTTTCCAGGTGCCATCGAAAGGAATGATGTGGAAGGAGGGGGTTTTTCCAAGCCATCACGCCAAGGATAGTAAGGATCCTAAGCTGTTGCCAAATTCAAAACGCAGTTGTGTGACTTTCATTATAAGAGGAAGAGGAGCAAGTATGCCAATGTAAGTACAAAATATCTCTATGCTGGGTCAAGTTATCAAATATATTTGTTATAAATTAGTTCTGGTACAGTTACAATTATAGGGGAAGTATAAAGTTTCAATAGTAAATAATAATGGTTTTCCACTTATTATATACTGAATACCGCTAATCTTTTAATTAATTAGTTTAATTATGTTAAGTTCCTTAGTTATTTTTAATGTACGCTGCATTGTGAACTTTTCTGTTACAAATATATATTTGATAAATCAATTTTGTTTCTTTTAAATCACCCTGCACTAATCCACATCATTGTAACAGTGAAGAAAAGAAGAGGAAGCAGCATAAATAAATTGTAGCCGGTTAAAGAAATGTTTCCTTTAAGCTCACAGAAAAAATTTTGGACCTTTACAAATGAACAGCAACTTAGTGAATTGCGTTTGCAACAAAATGTTAATTACATCAATACTCATGGCGCTGAAATGAATGTAAGTAAATATACAAGCTCAACAAAAGACACTTTTTAGCTAATTGCATATCGTTTATTATTTCATACTTGTAGCAGGAGCAACGCGAAGCCTTTTTCCTGCTGCCTATCGAAGAACGTGTATTACTTAAGCAATATGAATTATATTTAAATGATTTCTGCCGCCGCTTCGAACCGCCTATGCCAAAATGTGTTGTCGGCACTGCATTCCATTATTTCAAACGTTTCTACCTGAATAACACACCAATGGATTACCATCCTAAAGAGATATTGTATGTTTGAAATACATGATAACAGCTGTCATATTAATTAGTTATTGTTTTATTTCAGAGCCACGTGTGTCTATTTAGCCTGCAAAGTTGAAGAGTTCAATGTATCCATTGGGCAGTTTGTGGGTAATATAAAGGGCGACCGGAATAAGGCAATGGATATTATACTATCGAATGAGTTGCTCATGATGCAACAACTCAATTACTATTTGACTGTGCATAATCCCTATAGGCCGATCGAGGGATTTCTCATCGATATCAAGGTTGTGCTATAGTCTGATATAGCTATACTGCTGTTAGTTTTGCAAATTTTTTACATATTTTTTATAGACTCGCAGCAATATGTCGAATCCCGAACGTTTGCGGCCACACATAGATGAATTTATAGAAAAGACATTCTTCACCGACGCATGTCTGCTATACGCGCCGTCACAGGTAACCACTGCAGTTTGCAAACAAATAATTGTGTGCGAACATAATACAAATGTTTTTTTTCTTTTTTTTTTGTTTTATTATTTATTTATTTTTAATAGATTGCACTGGCAGCTGTGCTGCATGCAGCTAGTAAAGAACAAGAAAATCTAGATAGCTATGTTACTGAAAATTTATTTGTGGCGGCGCGTGATAAATTGCCTGTGCTCATAGAGGCTGTGCGAAGTAAGCTTTTTGTTAATTTTTATCCACTTGTTATATTAATTTAAGATTTATTTTTAAGAAATACGGTTTATGGTCAAGGCATACGAGCTGCCATCGAAGGAAAAAGTAAGATTGATTGAAAAGAAGTTGGAAAAGTGTCGCAATCAAGAAAATAATCCTGACAGTCAAATGTGAGTATAAAATCTTGTAATAGAATATTTATAAATATATTATTTTTATTGTTGATCTCTAAATGTTTTTTTTTTATATTTCAACTTTGCAGCTACAAAGAGCGCATGCGCAAAATGCTATGTGACGATGATTTGGACCTGCCCTTAGACTCTTCATATCACGTGGCAGACTCTAGTGCAGACATGTCTATGCTTAATATGAGCCAAGAATCTGTATGATTTACAATTAAGTGTTTTATTATTAGTTTCTTGTGGTATTCTGTCATTGTTAATAAAAAAATAAAGCGATAAAATCGAAAGTGACAAAAATTAAAATAGTTCATTAAAATTGTAAAGTTGAAAGTGACGTGATGAAAGCCATTTAAACAGATTAGTCTTTTTTGAAATATATTTGCTTAATACTTACTTTGTTTTCACACAGATGTTTACATGTTTATCGTAATCAATACTCCAAACACGAACAAATTTGAATTTCTTATGTTAACAGTATTTTTTATTGCATCTGATACTACAATGTCTGTCTGTTTTGGACACAAAACATTAATAGAATATGTTGTTTTTACCGTTAATATTATTAACAATATGCATATGTAATACATACATGTGTATTCAATATTTCTAAAACCAATTTTATTGCTCTCGAAACAGCATTTGGTTCCTACGCTTATAATGCTAGTTTCATACTGTATTTATTTTGTTTTTTAAGTGGCATTAATTTAGCTTGAGAGTGTTTTCAATTACACATAAGTATGTATTTAAGTTATATTGATGTTATTAAATTTTTGCATGTGAGGAATTTACTGTTATAATTTTTAATGTTGCGTTAAGGCTTAGTAATTACTTTCATGGTACCTTTATTTCTATGTCATTCAACAATGTGTAGTATTGCATATTTAATATTAAGCCTTTTTATATTAAAACTTATTTGTCTTTTTTAATATGCAAATGTTTTTTTTTTATTCATATTTCTATAAGCTATTACTAATACATAACAAATGTTTAGAACTTCTTCGTCTAATATTTATTGTAGTGCTTATATATATATCGATAACAAGTTTTTAAAAATAATGTTTTTTTAATGCCACTTTTTATAAAAAAAAAATAATTTTTTTCCTAGTTTTCATAATTGAAGTTTCAAAATATCCTTCTTAATTTAAGTTATTGCAGTTTCATTAAAGATTTCCAGCATTTTACATCAACAACTTCAATCCTTACAAAACTTGATTTTAAGAAAAAATTAATTCTTTAATCCTGTTGTTTTTATTATTATTGTTGTTAGGACTAAATGTTACGGTCTAAACATAAATATATTTTAATAATTTGAAGCGCGAAAGTATTTTAATCATAAATACTTCGAAACGGCAAAACAAAGCGGATGTTAAAGTTTTCAGTTTAAATGTTTTCATTTGCAAAAAATTTTTTATATATTGTGCTAGAAACTACATTTTTGTATATAGCAGTTATGTATACTATTTATTGTTCTTCAGAATATGTGATTCTCTGCTATTTCTCTTAGAGTTGAGAATATTTGAAAGCTCACTGCATAAAATTGGTTGTGAAAGCTTTGGCTTACGAATTTGTAACTTTAAAAAACAAGCAAAGTTGAAAGCTCTCTAAACTTGTAAGCAAAGTTGGTGTGAAAGCTTCGAAATATCAAAGTTTAAATGAAAACTTTGTCTTATGAATTTGTAAAGGAGGCTTTTAAGCTCAAAAAGCTCGAAAGCATAAAGTTTATGTTTTTGTATAATTGATTAAGTTTGAATTGAATAAATAGCTTAATTATACAGAAGTATTAAGTTTAGGAAAGTCGATTTATTAATGCATTATTGATTGGCTTTCAAAAAAATTATTTTTTCATTAATTTAAAATTTAGGGTGACATTTTATTATTTTTGCTACAAATAGTATTTTTCACAAAAAACTTAATGATAACCATTAAATCTGTTGCTTATTTTTTAGTATAAAGCTAAATAATTGTTGTTATATATATTTAATTTTGCTAAAAAAATAGTATTTCTCTCAAAGCTCTCAAAAGCTCTGCAATATATTGAACATATATAATATTTTTAAATTTAATCGCTCGAAACAAAAAATAAAATTTTTTTAAATTAAACGTAAAATTTAAATGAAATTTTGAACAACCATCATAATTTTTACACAGTAAAATAAAAACCATAAATATTGTTAGGCTTTAACATTTTTTTAAATTTTTATCATAATTTAATATGTGTATACATTTATAAAAAAATCAGTTTCACGCTGTGAATGCTTTGTACTGTAGAGCTTTCATTTGCTGAGTTTTTGAAAAAACATAAATATTGTTAAGCTTTAAAATTTTTTTAAATATAATATATGTATATTTAAATTTAAAAAATCTGTTTCGCGTCGTAAAAGCTTTATTCTGTGGAGCTTTCACATGCTGAGCTTTTCGCTGACAATTTTAAAGCTGCTCTTTGCTGTTGTTGTCGCTGCTGTTGTGTGTGTTTTGTGCTTGCGTGCGGGGCAGCTCGGCTGTTGTTCTCTTGTCAATGCTATTTCTTTATCATTATTTAGATTTTCGTTGAAAGCCCATAAAAGTAAGCTTGAATTGTTAATTTTATGCGTGTGTTGATTTGTACAAATGTTTTTTATTTATATGTGACTGTATATGTGGTATGTGTGTGTGTGTGTGATTTAGCATATGTATTTGCGTGTCTTCTTGTGTGTGTGTGAGCTTAAAAGTTTAGCGTTGAAGCTTTCAACGGCTAAGCAGCAAGTTAAAATATTTCTGCTTTGAAGCGCGTTTTTAAAGATTTCTTAGCTTTGGTTTACACCTTTTTTTTTCGTGGCATTCGTAGCTAAGTTAAGTTTGCTTCTTATATGTATATATTTTTATATATTTATTGTATATTATGTAGCATATAGTAGTAGTTAAAAGTATATATGTACATATATATACGCTGTTGTTGGTTGGTTGGTTTGCACATGGTTGCGATGGTGGTACATGATGAAAAAATTTAAGTCAGACCATTGGCATCGTATGTGAAAAAGCACTTTTCTTCTTTTTCTTCGCTTTCAGTGATCTTTTCTTTAGTTTTTTTGCGTGTTGACTTTATTTAAATATTTATTGCTTGTTTCTCTCTCAAAGCGCAAATTGCAAAATTTTACAAATTCATTTTTTTTTGTTACACCCGAATTGAAAAATGTGCACGAAAGTATTTTTTCTCTCGCTTGCAAGCGACTATTGGAGCGGCAAGGGAGAGAAGAAACGCTTCCAACACATTTTATTTCACTTTCGTTTAATTTTTTCATTTACTAAATTATTATTTTTATATAATATATTTTGAAAGCAAATTAACCAATTTAAAGTAATTAAAAAAATATTTTTCGTTCTTCTTTCGCTGTTTTAGATGAATTTTGAATGAAATTTGTAAAAAGTATGTATTTTGAAATATAAAATGATTTGGTTTAAAATTGTGGCACGATTGAGAGAAACAAAGCGAGACAGTTACTTATACAGTTGGATAGACAGAGAGAGAGAGAGAGTTATAAAGTGAAAGTTGTTGAATGTATGAAGAAATTGTGATGAATTGAAATGCTCAAAAATATTGAGCAGAATTTTTTTATGAAGAAAAGAATTTGTTTTTAAATAACAGAGCGCGTGCGGCAAATTAAAAATGACTTTATGTGTTAATGGAAACACGTTTAAAAGAGAGTGAGCGTGAGAGTGAGAGTAAGTGGGTGTTTCAAAAGTTCAGTTGTATGAAAGGCGTGTGGCCAGCTTTAAGACCGGGCGCAAACGCGACTTTACACAATAACTGAACCGAACTACACGCAACAAATAATAAATAATACTTACATATATGTAAAAATGTATATAATATTGATATTTTGAAATATGCGTGACACAATATCATAATTAACAAAATTTTGAGTTATGAGTGTAAATGTTGTTGTATTAGCGTGTAGTATGTAAGAAATGTACAACTCAAGATACCACAAAGTAAAAGCGTAATTTATGAGTTACTTATATAAAATATAAAAATTACCGCAAATACACATAATCAGTTATGTTTATATAAAATATTTAAGAAATAATAAAAAAAAGTTTGTTTAGAAATGAAAACCACATCTTCTCACATCATTGATGAACGAAAAGACATCATCATTTGCATTACATTAATTTGAAATAATATTTTAAACCAATATTTTCTTAATTTTTCGACAATTAATATTAATATACGTAATTTTTTTTGATTTTGCTTTTGTAATGTAAATCATTGATTATTAACAACAACATCGAAATTTGTTTTTGTTGTTTTGGAAAAAAATTAGAAGTCAAATATTCAGTGCTTTTTGCATTGTGAGGAATCTATGGTTCGTTCATATCACTTAAAATAAGTTACGCAATTACGTTTACCATTACAACAACTTGCCAACAAGCTTGCTGTCACCGATAGCTATTTTGCGATCTTAATTTTTCATATATGTTTTTCAACGTTTTTTTTTTCTAGCTTGCATAAGTACTACGCAATTCAAGCAGCAAATTAGTACAATTATTATTACTGTTTTTGTAAAATAGCAAAAAGAGGCGCGCACGCGTGGTCCTAGGCCTATAGTAAAAATTTACTCTTCATAGAACGTAGAGCAGGAGCGTCGGATGGTTGGATACGGAGATGATCGGTTGACTACGTCACTACAATGAAGTTCGAGCTGAGTCAGAGTTTGTTTTGGGGATGTTTTTGTTTAGCGTATTCTGGTGTCGCTTGAGAGGAGCTTTGATTGATAGAGGAATTTTGGTAATGGTATGACTGGTTACGAAAGTAGTTGTGGCTGTTAGTTTGTAACGGGCATTTATTAATTCATAATTAGTAGTTTGAGAAAATACTATTTAATTTCATGCTAAATTTTTCGTTAACTGCTATAATTTATTAATATTTTTGTATTTTGTTGAATTTGTGTTGTAACGAGTTTGGCAGAATTAACGGGATATGTATTAAAGATAGAGTTTTTTCCATAAGGATCTTTTCTAGGTGCAGTGAGGTGCTCAAAAATTTCTTAGAAGCATTGCATTTCAGCAAATAAATTAAATTAAAGCTAAAAATATATAATATTAAATTTTTTAAGTGTAGTGATTAAAATACACGAAAAATATTTGTATGAAAGAAAAATTATGCGCGACTAATATTTACATATGTACATTACTATGAATACATAAAAAAAAAATATTTTTTGACATAATTTTAATTTTTTTTATAATTAATATTTTTGATTATTATAAAAAAAACAGACATTTTCAGTTAGAAGGTGAAATCATTTCTTTCTTTTAGTTATTGGTAAATTATTATTTTTTTAATAAGATTGTTCACCCTGTGTTGAATTGTAGATTGAGGGAATATAAGTTAACACTAAATTCTGAGAATAATTTAAATTTTTGTCAGTGAATACAAAGTTATTATTTAATCTTTACGGTTAGAGTCTCAAAATAATGCAAACGATGAATTTTCAAGTTTTTTGAGTTTTCTGATGTCATAGACTAGTAAATCAATGAAAAACATTCAGTGTCTTGTCTGTCTAAGCCATCCGAATGGACGCAAATACATCAGTTGCAGAAAAGTCTTGTTAGAGTTGACATTTGTGTTGATGAAACTATGTAGTATAATAAAATATTCTTTACTGACATCAATTGTTTATTAGCAAGAATAGATACAAAGATCGTAGTAGTAGAGGGTAGTTGAACGCGAGAACTATATGATAGCGTATATCATCTAGATTTCATACGTGTTTCTTGTATAATTATACTTCGTTAAGTCCGTAAAGGCGATTTATATAACCTCAAATTTTATTTTGCTTCTAGTAACAGACAGCGTTAGAGTCAACTTCTAAATAATCGTCACAAAGTGAAATGAAATATTTTTTAATATTTACTTTTGTTTTTTACAAAAACTGAATACTGAAAAATCACTAAATTTAATGTAAAAGATTACTTTTCGTATTAAATGTGTTAATATTTACAAAAAAAAATTAATTGTGCTTAACTACTGAAATTCAAGTAAAAGGTGTTGGTAAGAGTGAAATATTACCAAGTGATTCAACAACTACATAATTACAAAAACAAAATTTGAAAAATACTAAACTCACCATTTTCGAACCCTTCATTTTCCATTCAACATTACTGATGCACTGAAAATCATAGTACAAGATCGCGGCGTAAATATTCAAGTATACTCAGACAGCTACAATTGTTTTACGTGCATTTCGTTTTAGAAGCACAAGCCATATGTAATTAAAAATAATTAAACCGAGCAAAAGCACTACAAATTACTACTCAATTTAAAAAGTAAAAGCCAAGCAGTCACTTATAACACATATGAAATTTCTGTTGTTATATAATATTCATGTTATAGAAACCATCGTGAAACCATCTGTGTAGCTATTTTTGCACTAAAATAAATCAAAGAAAATTGACTTTTCTATGTTTGTGTAAAAAATATATTTTTTGTATATTTATTTTTTCTAAATAAAATAAATAGTTTATGAATTCGCCAATTGTCATATCTGCTAAAGCTTAAATTATAATAAAATAATTATATGCTTATGTGGGTACAACAAGTTTTTTCATAATTATGAGTGATTGTGTTAACATTAAGTCTTCAATATTTTTTAGAGATAGATAATGATTAATATTCGAACACTGCACTACATGAATAGAAGTACATATGGTATTTCGAATATTTTGCAGGTACAATTCTACATTCGAAGTATTTGATAAAGCTTAGATAATCACTGCTTGACAAGTATTTCAATGATTAAGAGAAGATTATGAGTTGTTTGAGTGTTTTAAAAATTTTTTAAATTAAACTTTTTTGTGTCTGGTCACTCTCGATTGTATGAAAAACACGCCACCCTACTAATTATTAAACTATTTTTCAATGAAAGTTGAAGTTTTTTGAAAATATTCGAAAACTTATTGCCTTTAGTTTGCAATTTATTAAATATTTGGTATTCAATATTTCAAAACAGTTGCAAAAATCATAAGTTCAGAATTTAAAAAAATTTTGCTCTAGAGATTCATACATGTTACTCCAAATAACAAAAAACACAGACTGTCGACCATGGCGTATAAGTAACCTTCTAACCCACTCATTTCTTTGCTAACGATCATTACTTTTTTAAGTAGAAAAGCTTTACAGCTACTTCTGTTGACTTTATCGTGTGACAACAATTCTTAAAAATAATTAAGTGTAGATAACGGTTGTTAAAGTGATATAAGTATAAGTACTTGGATAAGCGTAGTTTCTTATAGTGAATTTAAAATATTTTCTTACTTATTTATTATTAAGATTTTTAAAATTTTTTTTTGTTTTACAACTTCATAAAAATTTTTTGTTTTTATTTTTTGTATGCTTTATATTAATTTCATGTTTTGGTTTGTGTTGTAGGTTTTCTCGTTCTTATAATTGACAAAATAAAATATTTAACAACTCTGCGCATTTAAGAAGGGAAATTGATAGAAACAAGAAAAAAATATTTTCTTTGGTGTATGGATATTTGGACATTTTGTACATTTTGTTTATGGTCTTCTAAGTATCGACCTGGTTCGATTTCCGCGATGGAATATTGACACTGGCTCGAAGATGACGAGCCTTCGGAGTCCATTCTTTGTTTATATCTTATTTTCACCTTATCTAAACTATTATAATAATGAAAAAACTTCAAAGTTTTCAAATTGAAATAATTTTTTATCAAATATTTAGCCTTAGATCTTTCGGCCATTGAGAAAAATCTTATTAGGATTCCCCACTGAAATATGTATTTGAACGGTTTTTTAAGGAAAAATGTCCTTTTGGAACATATGTCATTAAAATTATCAGAAAATATTTTGAAATAATTTAATACATTAAAAACATTTTTCACATACCCTCATAACTAGCACAGAGATTTCGCCTAAATAAATAAATAAGTGCAGGTGTGTAACATGCATTGAAAATTACTTTTTTTTTTTTTAATAATAATAGTATTTTTTTGTTTGCTTTAAATGAAAATATATTTAAGCAAAAAAATACGAAAAAATACTTCCGACAAGCTTCACTAACCGAAAGCTTACAGCTTTGCACCACTCGCTCACAAAGTGGCAGTGTTGCCACTCTTTACTACTACATATAATATATACCATATTTTACCATTTATTCTACGTCTTTGAAGCCAAAAAGCATGCAATGCTTAGAAATTTCTTTTATAAGTGATATATTTTCACTTAATTTGCAATTCGTAACACTAAGTTCTAGTGCTTGCACTAATCACTTACGCTTTTATTTGAATTTTTATTTTTTTACTACTAAGTACTAAGAAAATTAATTAACAATTAATAACTACGTCTTTTTTCTTTCCATTACACAATACATATATGATTACTGAGTAAATAATAATAAATAAAAAGTTGTATAGCTTAAAACAAAAATTAAAAAAATAAAGGAAGAAAGATTCTTATTGAATTACAATGCTTACCAAAGTAAAATAAATACTACAAACATTTTTAAAAGAAAGTTTAAAATTAAAACTTACGAGCATTTGGGGAAAAATAAAATATTGTAATTAATGTCTAAATATATAGTTTGTATGTAAATATGTAGTTAAGAACTATGCAGTGTTATCGAAGTAGTCACAATTTTTAGTTAAGAGCAAAATTTCTAGAGAAAAGATAACAAGTGTTTGTGTATGACTTTTAAGAGGGGTGGGGAAAGACTGAAACGAGCGTGGAGCATTACTAAGTACGTATAATGTATGTATGTATTTATGTACTATGTACGAATATGTATTTATGCAGTAATTACTTATTTATGTAATTATTGGAAACAAAGTAATTGTAAATATACAAATACTTGAGTATGTATGTATGTCTTTCTTGGACACGTGGACGTTGTAAAGAGGTGTTTGTTGACACCAACAGCGCATTCCTGTGGAGCAAACGGTTAAGGCAACGCAGTTTTCCGACAATCAAAAGACCAATGCAAGCCAAAGTAAGCGATGTATGTATGTATACAAAACAGGCTATTTGGAGCACTTTATTTTTAATGTTATTCCGTAATGCATTACACACTTTTTAAATAACGATTCAGATACACGATTCGGATACCGACGCATTACCATAAATTACTTTATGCATTACCACATATTACTTTATCAATATTACAATATTTATGAATTACCATAAATTAATTTAAGCATTACTTTGTGCATTACCACCGATTACTTTAAGCATTACATGACCATCATCCACCGGAATGCACTGTTATACGGGTTTATGTGTGTGTGTGTACCATTTTTACTTTCAGTTTTTGTAATTTAGCGTGTGGCTTTGCGGGTTAAATGGACCTACACTCTATCTTTCTACGAATTGTGCACATATATTATTTGTTTTTGTTGTTTTTATTGGGCATGCAACATGTTTTGGTTGTTCGGTTGATGGCATGCAACAAAATTTCGGTTTTACTCTGAATTTCTCTTGTTCTTGTTGTTGCTGTACATTCATATGACAACGGTGATTTGATATTTGTGTTGGTTTTTGTTGTTGATATTGCAGTTGGAGTTGCATTTGACTGGTTGGGGTATGTTGTGAGAGTATTTGTTTTTGTTTTTCATACTTTTCTACTGGTTTATGCTTATGTTTTTGTTTTTGTTTATGCATTTGCAATAGTCGAGCGAAAAATTGCAATTGCGCACGAATCTGTATTTGATTGAGTAAATATAATATGAATGAGAGCGCTGAGATCATGATGTAATGGTGTGATGAACCATTTTGCAATAAATTTTTACTAGAATTGCACATATCTTCCTCACAAAAGCACATATGTCCATTGCCTGAACTTTCCATCATGCACACATGATCGACCATAAATAAATTTATTTGCAATTGCGACGTACACATACGTCGTACAACTTCGTAGGCTGTAATACAACACAATTCCGAATGAACACGAAGATGGAGCAAGGAAGAGAGAGAAAAAGAGAACATACATTATATTAATGTTGGCAAGTAATTGTAAGTAATCATTATCACATGTAATTAGCTTACAGCTATTGTAGCTCCACTAAAGTACTCATATTAACTGTTATTTTCAAGCATTACATTAAAGTCATTCAATATTGGAATTTAGAGTCGTTGTTTGTTTGGCACTTACGTGATTTCGAATGCCGCACCATTTTCACACAACAGCCATTGCAGGTCATCAGCGGAGGTTGATCACGCGGTAGCGCCGTGTAATTGAAGGGATCCTTGCAGCGTGCATCCGTCCATGAATCACATTCATAACAGTAAATCGAACGCGCTGCGCATGCGCAGTTAGTGATTTGTGGAGAAAAATTGAACTGTGTTAGCAAAGGCTTTGAGCAATATTTTCAAATCAATTTGTGGCTATTTTTTTCATTTCTTTATAATATCAGTTTATTTTTATTTTAATGCAGTGCCAAACATTGACATTCACATTTTGACGTTGCAATAACAACTACGAAAAAGTATGCACTAAACTACATCTTAAGCAAAGCAAGCAAAATAAGTTTGTAAAGTTTTTAAAAACTGTGCAAAAAAGCTAGATCTTACATTTGATTAAATAATATACAATATTTACATATTTATAAACACATGGGTGGGTAGTTAACATTTCCTGTTTATTCAATAGCATTTTACAAAACTAAATTTATTTACAAATGAATTTAAAAAACTTTCTACTTAATTATTCTTCGACCATTTTTAATAAGGCGCTTTTGAATAAATTTTCTGAACCTCGTAATGCTGGATCTACATATTATTTACTTGCCTCTATTTATGCTTTTCTATAGTTCTCTCACATTTTTAATTGTCCTTACTTGGACTTGGCTCTTACTATCGCTCCGATCGGTTGAATTTTAACGAACTTGAATAATTGAAAACTTACTAATTTAATTTAAATTTAATTTTTACGGCATTTTCTCTTTTTATGATCAAACATGCCAAAATATTGGACATGTGGAAAGGAAAAATTATCCCTTAAGGGGTTAGCTCAGTCTAGAACGATTAAAAGCGGGTAACTTTGATAATTTGTTACGGGACTAAGGAAAAAGTAATCGTTTTGCTATCTACATCTCTCCTTATTAAATTGATATTTTGATACAAAATGGCGGTTACTCGGCCAATCATCGGAATAACGTTTTTCAAAAGTGCCTCTACGGTCGTCAGTGATTCTAAGAACTCGTGCTATCAAAAACAAAATAAACAAGTAAGGAAGGGCTAAGTTCGGATGTAACCGAACATTTTATACTCTCGCAAAGTCAAATGGTATACTCGTTTGAGATTTCTTTGTGGATTGACTGATATTTTCGGTAGAAGGTCAACTATAGGCACTGGGGTCCACATATTTAGTACTTAGGGGCTTGAACAGTTTTGGTTCGATTTAGAAAATTTTTGGTCACAAGGTGGCATACTTTAAACGTATTATTCACGCAAAGTTTTACGCCGATATAATCATTGTTGCTTGATTTGCATAGTGGAAAGTGAAAGAATCAAGTGGTATTTAAAATGGTGTCATATGGAAAATAGGCGTGGTTGTAATCCGATTTCGCCCATTTTCGCACTATGACATAGAAACATGAAAAGAACGTTATGCACCGAATTTGGTTGAAATCGGTTAAGCAGATCTCAAGATATGGGTTTTCACCTAAAAGTGGGCTGTGCCACGCCCACTGTCTAATTTTGAACGCGGTTCCTATAAAGTCATCTTATACCATCTCAGAGATAAAATTTAATGTCTCTGGCGTGTTTAGTGCTTGATTTATCGCGCTTTTAGTAGTTTTTAACAGTACCGTTATATGGGGAGTGGGCGGAGTTGCCACCCGATTTCAACTATTTTCACACCGTCAATAGAAGTGCTAAAAACTTTTGCTTCCAGTGAATTTTGTTATTATTGCATTAGCAGTTTAGGAGATTTGCACATTAAACCTATTAGAGGCGGGACCACGCCCACTTTTTAAAAAAAAATTTTAACTGCATGTGCCCCTCCCTAATGTGATCCTGTGTACCAAATAACAGTCTTGTATCTTATTGCGGAGCTTAGTTATGGCAAGTTATTTGTTTTTGATTAATGGCGTTTTGTGGGCGTGGCAGTGGTGCGATTACGCCCATCTGCAATACCAACCGTCTCACGGTACCATGAAACATGTCTACTAAGTTTCATAAAGATATCTCAATTTTTACTCAAGTTAGAGCTTGCACGGACGGACGGACAGACGGACAGACGGACGGACAGACGGACGGACGGACAGACAGTCACCCGGATTTCAACTCGTCTCTTCATCCTGATCATTTATATATATATAACCCTATATCTAACTCGATTAATTTTAGGTGATACAAACAACCGTTAGGTGAACAAAACTATTATACTCTGTAGCAACAGGTTGCGAGAGTATAAAAACGGAATCCTCAATCTAACATATGTACATAAGACTTGTTAGCACATTTTTAGCTTACTTTTGCATAAATTCTTCTGTTAAACTGTTTATAAAACAAGGAAAAACGAAGCTAAAATTTGTTGAGATTGTGCAGTGATTTTGGACAATAACGCTAATTTACAGCAATTTTACGACTGTGATGTTAGAGGCTGTTTCTTGCTAATTTTTGGTTGCTAAAACCGAAAATGATTGTAAAAATTTCCTAATATATAGGAATTAAGTTTTATGATCTGTTTTTCAAAAAAATAAAATCAAGCTATATTAAATTACAGCATGTACCAAAGCAACCTGCCTTCACAATAAAATTAGGTGTTAGTGTCTCAAACGCCAAAACCCGCCAAGTGGTGTAGGGCTCAAATCGCCACCATTCATATATTAGCATCGTAATATACTTTGCCTACGCCAAAGCTAATCTAACTACCTATTGCTTCTTAATTTGTAAATGCTACTTCACATTTAAATCGAACTGCTAGGCTATTGCTTTCCTGCGCGTTGTGGAGGTGCCGCTTTTGTTTTAACCTTGGCCCCTTTCACGTCGCCGTCGCTGCGATAAGTCAGTTGTAATTACGGTTAGCAAAAGAGAATATGTGTTTTTAGTTTTGAACTTTTTACGTGAACTCAATCAAAATGTCTAAGGTACAGAAACGTGGTTGTGGTAACCACGCGGCTAGTTTTTGCTATATATGTGGCCAGTTTAACCCTAAATCACAGAAGGGGACAATTACTAAAATGACAATAGCTGTACGTGATGGACAATTTTTGAACTCAAATTCCGGACATCTCAAATACCACCATAGACCTGTTAGCACATCAGTCGTCATGCCAAAATTTCGTGAAGATATCTTGACAAATAAAATTTTACACACAAAAATTTGATCAGTTTGTATGACAGCTATATGCTAAAGTGATCCGATATCGGGGGTTCCGACAAAGCAGCTTCTTGGTTGGAAAAAGGAATTTTTCAGCTCGATATTTCAAAAAAGATATTTTTTAATTTTTTACCAAGAGAATAATGACTTTTGGACTCTAAGTCAAGTTAAGCCAAAAAAAACAGACATTTTAAATCCTAAACTAGGCAAATGTATTAGAAAAACACAATATTAATGTTTATTTGCATATAAAATATTTCCCATAAACACTTTTTCCCACGGCAACGCTATATTTTTTGGAGATATCGCTGCAATTGCTTTGGAGAATAATTTATTTCGAATTTTGAGAAGATAACATGTCAACTAAAAAGTTGATAGTGATCCGATGTCGGCGCTTTCGACAAACGAGCAGGTTCTTAGAAAGAAAAAGGCGTGTGAAAAAATGCAGATCGATATCTCAAAAACTGTGCGACTAGTTTGCGTATATACAGAGAGCCGGACATGACAATTATATATATATTTTATAGGGACTTCAACATTTCTTTCTGGGTGTTACAAATTCGTGGCAAACTCAATATCCTGTTCAGGGTATTAAAAGTTGCAATAATATAAAAAAATCTACCTAGCTTACTAGATAATATTACTGCAAAGCTATAGCTAAAATTTCAAGTGCATATATAGATAGATTGTACTCAGAATATCGCAATTTAAAAAAACGATTACGAGAAAAGCGAGTTCAAAGTTTTGCTTGCTGATGCTGACTGAGTGCTTCGAAATTTTTTTGTTCTATTCTATAATGATTTTAGGACTCTAAAGTCTACTTTTAGCCAAAAGACACATTGATTTTTTTTAAATGCAAAACTAGCCTAATCCACTAAAAATAATTTTCTCAATAAAAATAATTATTTTTATAACACAACATTTCCGATAAACATTTTTTCCCAAAATAATACTATATTTTCTTTTCAACAAAAAGAATGATTAATTAGGACTTTTAAGATAAAACAAACAAAACACATTAATTTTCCATAACATTCACAAGAATTTCATAACTCTTGATCGAATTTACTCAATTACTCAATTAATGCAAGATCACCAACTTTAAATACTAAATTTTAAATAAATTCTTCCGGGATTTTGTTACGAAAGTATAAGCGTCGTTTACTTTTAGTTCTATTAAAAGCATCGAATCTTCTAGTAAATAATTAATTTATTTCTAAATTAATTATGTCCTTTAAATTTGCAAAAAATTTCATTACATTCTCATCTGATAAGACAAATGTATGCACTATATGAAAAAAAAGAAACATCCCCTCAAGAAACTCGATAACAATCATTACGCTTTCTTCATATTGTTTCCAAAAAAAAATATTTCGTATTGTAATTTATTTGAAGTAAACTACATTATTTGAACTAATAACGGTTTATTTAACGTGCATATAGAATATTAGGATATGCTACATGAAAATATCTATAACATAATCATTAGCAAATACAATGTACAATACTTATAGCGAATGGAAATATGTTGAAAAAAACAAAGCAAGTAGGATAGAAAAATAGTTTTAATTTATAAAGGAAAAAAAAAAATATTTTTGCTACTTATGGTAAGGTGAAAGACTACAAGTTATTTTTAAAAGTGATATTTAAGACAAGACATTTTTAATTTTAGTAAGTTAGTGAATATGTAATAGAGAATTAAAATATAAAGGCAAAAGAAAATAATTATAAAAAAATTTCTAATTTCTTATAATCTTTTCACAACTTAAAAATGTGGCATTACAAAACCGTAAATATTGTATTGTTGCTACCATAATTTTTTTTTGTATACTTAACGGGAAATTAATAACATATCATAGCAATTATTTATTGTTTAGTTCGATACGGTTCATTACAACCGCTAGTTAAACTTTTTAAGCTCAAAAATTTTTTAGAAATTTTGTAAAATATGTAACTACACTAATTTTTAAAGCTATTAGTTCTAAGCGGAACAAAAATATAAAAAAGTCATATATTTGGCCACAAATCCCAACCGTCCAAACAGTTTTTAAAAATTTGACCGGAGAGCCCTGCATGTTTCGAAATACATAAATTTTGTGAAATCAAACGAAAAGAAAAAACTGCAAAAATATATAAAATTAATTTAAAGATTATGAAGAAATCATATCGCTAAGTTTTATGAATAGACGATCTGAAATCGAAGGCTTTAACGACTAAAATATATTATAATATTCGTTGAAGGTTTATGATTTGTGACCACTAATATTTGCAAAAAAATATGATATTTTAAATTGAAAGTATATGTTATAATCTTCAAAATGTCTGTTTTGTAACAAATATATTTAAATGTATTTTGGTATATTTGGAATATCGATACATTATAGGGTAATCAGTTGAACTGCGAATAATTTTATACAGCATAAAAAAATCCATGTTATTAGTCGAGTTTTAGAATAGCTTTTTAAACTTGACTAGTTAAACTAGTCACCACAGATCTCTGAATGAAATGCATGAGATGTTACCAGCTTGTAGACATATAGTATGCTATTCACTTGGATGATGGAGATCAAGTTTATGTTCTAAGTTTGTACAATCTATTTGAAAGGTTGTTTCGGTTTCCCGTTTCAATATTTAAATTATTTTTGTCGGCAAAAAACAAGAAAAAAATTTAACTTCAATTGCATCGAAGCTAGAATACCCTTCACAAGTAAATAAGTTTTCTTTACACGAATTTGATTTTGATCGTTCAGTTTGTGTGACAGCTATATACTATACTGGTCCGATGTCGGCAGTTCCGACAAATAAGCAGTTCCTTGAGGAAAAAAGAACGTGTCCAAAATTTCAGAGCGATAATTCAAGAACTGAGGGATCAGTTCCCGTATAGGTATATAGACGAACGAACGGACATGGCTAAATCGACTTAGCTCGTCAAGCTGAGCATTTATATATATACTTCTTAGGGTCTCTGACGCTTCCTTTTGGGTGTTACTAGCATCGTGGCAAACCTAATATACCCTGTTCTGGGTAGAAATACCATGTAAATATTTACAGCGGCTTTACCGGCATAAAAGTTATTGTCTTTTGTGTTTTGAATGCCGTTGTTATTATTATCGATCATTACTTTTATAAAACTAAATACGGAGCAAACTTTGAACCAATGATGAGGCAATTGGTTTCAAAAAGTTAACGTTAATGGTAAATTGGCACGTTATTAGGAAAATACTAATTAAGCACGACCTCCTAACCTAACCCAATGTAACCTTGATGGAGAAAGTCCGAAAGTCAGGTAAGCTGTCACAGTGGTCATATACCCGGAGCCCAAAAATATATAATTCATTCACTTTTGTATCTCTAAAAAAACACCCTTTACGTACTCAGTTTTTAACTAATAATTAAATCTGCAGTCGAGATGCTCCACTTTTTAATGATTCTCAAAATTTTTTGTTACTTTCAGATAGGGCTTGTACTCGAATAGTTCTCTAATAGAAAATTATTCTTAATATTTTCCGGGCTTAAAAATTTTAAAGGTCTTATTTTCTATGGTAATACTATAACGAGAATTCTCTTAATACCAAGCGCTTTAATTTTCAAAATCTTTCTTACTGAAACTCTTCTGTATGAAAAATGTATATATCATATTGTTATACAGTTCTGCTGTTTTACCCTATAATAACGGAATGAAAGTAGTAAATGTTTAGTGTAATTACTTATTTAAATTTCCGGAATTCAGTGTAAATGGGCAAATTGTTCTTGAAAAGAGCATATCAGCATATAAAAATATTTGAAAACCAATGCAAGCATTTTACATTTAGATAAAGAAATGTGGTTATAATAAAAATGTATTTGGGTGTATTTAAAATATTATAAAACTTAAAAATCCTCTTTGTATTAAGTGTGTGTATGTTAGAATTTATGTGTAAATATTTTTCACTAATATTTTAACACGAAAAGCTTTAAACACTTATTATATCTTGCGTTAAAAATTTTATTTTTTGTTTTAATATGGGAATATACGCTTTTTTTTAAATTTAATTTAGAAAAAACACAATTATATTAATTAATTTATATTTGCATTGGTCGCATAAAGGAAAAAGAGCGATAATTTTTAATTGAAAATACATAATTTCTTTTTTGCTTTGCAAATGGAAAGAAAAAGTGACATTTGCTTGAGGCATGAATTCATACTTTGACATTCAGCTGACACTTGTGGAATCCAAATGAAAATGAGAACTCCAAATGCCGCTGTAAAGAGTAAAAAAGAAGAAGAAGAAAGACAAATATTTGTTTTGTTTTTTGATTTTGCATTGAATTTAATTGAGATAAAAGAAAAAAATAATACATTTATTAAGGTATTATAACAAAGTTGACTTTAAAGATTTACTTAGAAAAATATTGAAGGAAGAGTAGACAAACTGTTTTATCGTTTTCTATATTTTTAAGAATTAAGACTTATTTCAAACCTAATACACATGTAAAGCACTCATAAAACCAGATATTGTATTAATCCTTTATATACCATTGTAAAAAAATTATAAATACTTTACGATGTCGTAACAGTTATCGATAGGTTAATTTCCAAAAGGAGGTACCATAATATCATTTATAGAGTTACGTAATTAAGAAACTTTAAACTGAATGAAAAGAAAATAATTATGTAGAAATGTGACCGTGGTGCCGTGCCCCTAATTTATTTAAGATGATTTTTCAAATATAAGTCTGATCTATTAAAATAGAATGCAAATTTTAGTAGCTATTTAACAGATGATATAATATGATTTTGAATTCGTACTATTTTAGACTTCTAGGCTACGTACGTCTAAGGAATGACTTTTTTGTTTTGCATGTGATGTTTTGTTGAAAACGGCAATTGAGAAGTTTCTATAATTATGTATTTGTTATATGACTGCTGCACGTCTGATATTTTTTTTACACATGTATTTTCCGTCGGCTGAAGCCGAACCCTCGAAGTTTAGATGACATTTTTTAGTGTTCTACAAGTTCCTTTTCTTTAATATTTAAAATGTGTTAAAATAATATATATGTAGATATTTTATACTATGCAAAAATAGGGCAATTATCACCCAACGTGAACAATCTGGGATTAATTTTATATATTTAAATTTTATTTTAAAGGACTATTGAACCTAATGGTTTATGTTTTAAAACTTTAGATAAAAGCATAGTATCTCTCACGGCAGAGATCTATTTGAAAAAAAAAACTGTAAATTCTGTAAAATGTAAAACCTATCAGCGAATGCGTGTTATCGGATCTAGTGTTGCAGATGAGGATACTACATCGATGAAAAGTATAAGTATATAAAATCTGTTTGCGAGAAGTCTACTTCATATATCAAACCTCTATAAATAAAAACCTGACCCACTTGCAGTAAATTTGTAGTGATTTACCCAAAATGAAAACCTGTACGATAGACCCATGCCTTTTTACCAACTCGTGCTACAAATATCTTAATTTACTTACAGTAAATAAATACAATAGATAGATAACTTCTGTTCAGAAAAAATATAAATAATTAAAAAGTTAAAAAACTAAAAACAGTAAAAGAATATACAGTGAAAATAGACGAATGATATCAACGAGTAACGAGTATATGAGTGGAGGCAGTTTTTTACTATACAATTTTTTTTACACAGAATTCAGGTGTGCAATGGACGAATACACATGTATGTATGTAAGTAAGAACTGTGTTGCACTAGTACTGGGTTGAACCAGTGTACTAGCGAGTGGCGTACAAGTAGCGAATACTTTGTTATGAGTGAAAGCACAATACTTTTTTTGGCTTAGCCAGTTAGAAATACATAGATGTATGCATGTTTGTAAGTAGTTTATGATATTTCACTATAATAACGAGTTACTTGAGTTCGCAACATTTACAAGGCGTATGCAACGCAACGAACGAGTAAATATCAACGAGTTAACGATTTAACGAGCGAACCAATTAACGAGTAAATCAATAAAGGGCTTTGCGCTTGCTTTAAGTTAGTTGTAAGATTTTATAATTTTTTTTTAGTATAAATTGAAAAGAAAATATAAAGGAAGTGAGACAAACCCGAAAAGAAATGTGCACTTAAGTATTTTTGTTCAATTAAATAGTTTAGTTAAGGTTTCTAAAGAAATTTTACGCAAACGTCAGTAACTCCAATTAGTAAAATTTAACTAGTTGTCAACAGGTGTATACACACATTTCTCTACGTGTTCCAAAAATTAGTAAACAGTTTTCGTAATTTCAACTCAAAAATTTGAAAACTAGCGCATTTAATTCGTAATAGTTTTTAAAATTTTAAATACAGAAATTAAGAAATATATATGTAGGTAATTTAGTGTTTGTTAATTAATTACAGTTTGCTGGCAGTTTTAGAATTATTTTTTAACAAAATAAAATCAAACAAATTTTTATTTCAATTCACTACTTTTGCACTTACATGGAAAACAATTGTCCGCCATTGCATTTTTCGCACAAATCAGCAAAACTGGTTAGGTAACAGGTATTGGTTCAAAGAATTTCCGGTAATCAATTCAATATTAATTTAGGTTTGGTATTATTTCGGATGTTGATGTAGTAAATGATGAGAACATAAAAAAGTAAAATAAATAAGGAAAATTAGAAATAATTGAATTTTGATACATTTCAATTTGAACAGAAAATAATAATTTTTTTTAATTTTGCATTTAATGTGAAACCAAAAATGATATAACATAATACAACTTTTAATAAATACAATGACAGCAAGTAAGGAAGGCCTAAGTTCTGGTGTAACCGAACATTTCATACTCTTGCAACTTGCAAGGATCAAAGACGGCTTGTTAGAATAATGAAAGTCATTATGTGTAGTATTTTATAATTTCAGATATTTTCAGTATTAAACTATAGTATATGCTTTATTATACTTTCAGTTAATTTTGCACATTTGGAAGTTTGAAAATTTTGTAGTATGTGGGAGATAAGTGTAGTATTGAGCAGATTTTATCTATTTTTGGCATTACTACATACGATATGTATTATTAACAGATAAAGATGTAGGGTCAGACTACAAAAAACTGCTGATGGATTCACCAATACACTCACATTTATTATGTCAGTACTGACGGTGATTTACCTTTCAATGTCACTGTTATTGTTAAAAAGAGACTCTCAAGATTTATATTGCTTACTATAGCAAGAATGAAATAGCTGCATTCTTTAGTACTGTCACCACTGACAGTCAAAGGAACAGTAAAATTACTGTTAATGTTTACGCAAATTTTGTATACGTCGAAAAGATACAGCACACATTTCCATAGGATTACAATTTTTGTGTTAAAAAATGAACAAATAACGAAGGAGTTTGCAAATATTATATAATATACGTAAGTTATTATTAAGTTTCAAATAAAATTATATTTTTAGTTAATTTTTATTTTTATTTAAAAGTGAGAGTGAGCAGTATAGATAAATAGTGAATCAATTCCGCATATCCATGTGTTAAAGGGAGATGTAAAATCACAAACTTGCGTTTGTTAACATTAGTTTATGCACAAGGCTCTTAAAAAAATGATAGAAACTTTATTCTGCGCGCTGACAAAATTTTTTCAGCTGTTACTGTCATATTACCGGTGATGACTGTCACTGTTCTTGTACCGAAGTTACATTCAGATAGCTTACACACCATTACCAATATAAAAGGAGTAAAGTCAGTCGAATTTTTGAAAATTAGAAAACTAGTTATATGGGAACTGGGCAAGTTTTCACTCTTTCAATTTCATTAAGATAGCTCACATATTGGCCGATTTTGCCATATAAAATCAGCCGAAAGTTCGAAAAATTTTCTTTAGGTATTCAAGTATATGATTCAATCCAACACATTTTCGGCAAACAGGCATACATTCAATAACATATCTCACAGATTGACCGATATTTTCGCTAAAAAGTTCGCAATAGGAACTGGGGTTCACATACCTGGGGGTTTGAATAGGTTTGGTCCGATTTCGAAAATATTTGGTCATAGGTGACACACTTCATAGGCACTATTCGTGCAAAGTTTTATTCCGTTATGGTTGTTGGTGCCTGATTTGTTTACTGGAAACTAAAAGAATCAAATGGAATTTAATATTGTGTTACATGAGAAGAAGGCGTGGTTTAAGCGGGATTACGACCATTGCACTGTAACATAGGAATATCAGAATAATGTCACGTACCAAATTTGGTCGAAATCGAATAAGCAGGTCCCGATATATGGGTTTTCACCTACATGTGGGCGGTGCTATGCCCATCTCTAAATTTTGGCAGCAGCTTCTATAAAGCCTTCTCATATCATTTTGGGTGTAAAATGTTATGTCCCTGGTGCATTTATTTATAGATTTATCGCACTTTTAGTAGTTTGATACAAAATCAGTTGGAGTTGGAGAGGTTATCATCAGATTTCACCTATTTTCACATTGTCGTAAGAGGTGTCGAAGAGACTTATCCTGTGCAAATATGGGTGATATTGTTTGAACGGTTTGGGAGATGGCTTAGTGAACCTATAATAGGGCGGGGTCACACACACTTTTAAACGCTTTTCAAACCACAGTTGCTCTTCCTTGTGACTTAGTTATGGCACTTTATACGTTTTCGATTAATGACGTTTTGTGGGTGTGGCAGTGGATCGATTACGCCTATCGACAAACTCGTTCTCCCGATTAGACCAAGAAACTCCTGTACCATGGTTCGAGACGATATTTCAATTTTCAAGTTACAGCTTGCAAAGACAGACGGACGGGCGGACAGACTGTCAACTCTATAACAAAACTATTAAACTCTGTAGCAATATGTTGCAGGTTTCTAAAAATTCCAAAAATAAAGCGATTAGAGAGCTTCATGTATATACTGGTCTACTAAAAAGTAATCCATTTTCCTTACATTTGGGTAATACCTAAATTGATGGTTTTATTTAACATAGCTAGAACAGTCAGTTCGTCGCTTGATGTTGTCGTAAAACACCTACTTTTCATAACCAGTAATGGGCCGATTGAAAACTTAATCGATTTTGTTGCCATACAACAGTCATTAGCAGATCGAAATTCAATCCATAATCGCAACATTGCTAATGTCACTGTCGGACTCGACGATATCCATTGTTTTATCGATATTTTCCACAATTGGCCTTTCAAAGCGTGGTCCATTTTTGATATCCAAATTATCGGAACAAAATTGGCGAAACCAAAGTTAAGGGATCTAAGAAAAACTGTAACATATGGCTTATTTTCTCATTGCTGGTGTCCATCTCTGACGCGTACTCAACGAAAATTGAGTCACAAAACTGAGTCTGAGACCGAAATATTGTATTTTCTTTTTAACGCCATAAAGCTTAACCCGATCGCATTTTTACAGCCTGAGATACATGGTAATAAAACCTTCTGTTGGAAAAATAATTTATTTCTTCTTAATAGACCTTAAACAATGTATAAACCTTTTATATTATTATATTATATATTAACGATCCCTTTTTGTACTTATCTGACACATTTTTACAATATCTACATAAGTTTTCTGTGACCTATAACCGATCCCAAAATATGGATGAAATGCCATTTTTTTGCGACCTAGGTGAGAGTGGAAATCCAGTATGTTTTTCCTTGACGAGGAATCACAGATAATGTATGTGGATATTTATGGTTTTATTAGTATTTACTAATTGGTGTGAAAGGAGCTTGGCCATAAGCAAATGACCAAATCTCTATCTGAGTTTTCTAATATAAATAAAAGCCTTTTGGCTAACCTTTGTATTCTAGAATAAAGCTCACGGTATTTACGCATTTTCTTTGGTTCATTTTTATCGCGTTCCCGTTAATTAATTTCACTAGATCACCTTCACATTTCATGATCTTTTTTGCGATTTTCGGCAGAGCAAATATATTTACCTCAAAAAAGTGATATTAGGTTGAACCAATTGAATATTCTAGAAGTTTGTTCACTATTCTGAATTTAGAGGAAAAAAAGTTCCTGGAAAATCGATGTATGTATAAAGGTATTCAGTATAAGGTAGATAAGATAGTTACATGCTCAACATATCACGTTTACACATCAAGATTCCATATTTGGTTTCAGGCAAAAAGCTCTGTTGAATTTCTCCAAATATTTAATAAAAAGAGTGTGTTTTAAATCAGTTGACAACAGCTTCGCGTTTCCAGTGCATAGGTTACCCTTTTCTTAACACCTTCCGCTTGCCATCTATGCTCTTAATGAACTTGGCTACGCCGGTTGAAACCATTAACACCGCAACCTAATACCTTCAGAACTTTTAAAACCCACCTATGAGCAAGTAGCACAAGTAAATACAATAAGCATAAGTTTCAAAACTGTTAAAGACAAAATGTTCTGCAAAAGTCATTAACCATACCATGGCCCTGTGGGTGAAATATAATAACTGTCGCATGCTTATACAAATCCACACAAAACCCATTAGTACTTTGCACCTTTCATTAGTAAATAATCGCTTTACAGAAAATCCGACCACACATAAAGTGACCGTCATAAATTTGTGCACTGACAAGCACGCCCTTACTTGACCTGTCTCCTTACATATACGCGCCTTAGTTAATGGCCGCTCGAGGCCAGCACAATGTCGACTCTTCTCACCTCGTCAAATCACGTGTGAAACAATGGTAGGATGCTCGTGTTATGCGCCTGTCGTATCGATTACAGATGGGACTATTAGCTCATCAAGTTTAACGCATGATATGCTTGAGGGTACCCGTATAATAACGGCACACGCGACCAAGAAAATAAACAAATAAAACATTTGCCAAAATATAAAAGAAAACAAACAAAAATCGGAATATTAAGTTGTGGAGCGTCGAACAAGCTTGCATACGAAGGTACTTGTTAACAGAAAATATTGGAAAATATGCGCACATTCTAGTCAGCCAGAGATAATTAGATTGTCTAAAACAAGAATTATATATATTTAGTCTAAAACAAGTAAAAACGTTAACTTCGGTTGCACCGAAGCTATAATACCCTTCACAAATACAAAGGTTCCTAACAAGAACTAGTTCGTATATATACAAACATACGGACATGTCTAAATCAACTCAGCTTATCATGTTGATCATTTATATATATATTTTATAGGGTCTTCGACGTTTCCTTCTGGGTGTTACAAACATTATGATCAATCGTAATCGATTTTTGGACTCGGCGATTTCCATTATTTGATCGAGTTTTTCAATAATTGGTCTTGCGTTTTCGCCCTTATCGAAGAAAAACTGTAAAATATAGCTATTTTCTCTTTGCTAGTGTCCGTCTTTGGCGCGCGCTCAAACAAAACTGAATAAACCAATCACAAAACTGTCAGAACTGTCTTTTTTAGTACGAAATGTCATCTTTCTAACGCCGTTTAGCCGTACATGATCGGACAACGCGAGATATAGATAAATAACGACATATATTGGAAAAATAATGGTTTTTGTTTTACTACGCCTATATAAAGTTTGATTAGACAATACGGAAGATACGGAGCATTTCTTGGGAAGAAATTAAACCATCAGTGTTTTCGTACTTAATTCATTCATACTACTTGACTTAAATATCTATCTACTAACTTAGTTCATATTCTGTATTATGCCAAAATTGTATACCTTTTTGGAGAGTGTTATAATATTTACCCATAGAGATAGCGAAATTGACAAATATTTATCCCCCTCATAAAGTAAACGGATTCATATTCCCACGTGTTTAGAGTTATAATGAATTTTTCTGAAGTCTAAAACAACCATTTATTAAATTTCCAATAAGAAAAATGTGTATTTTACTATCATATATTTCGACTCGAAAATCCAGACCCCACATTTCCACCCATAGGTCTGCAACGAAAGTATTGTTTTGATTTCCACTGGCGATAAATTGGTTTATAAATATTTTTATTGGTTTCTATTGCAAATAAATGTTTTAATTTTTCCGTGTTAACCTCAAAACCCAAAATGAATAAATGTAGAAAATACGCAAAAATCTTTTTTTCCATTTCATTGTGGTACCATAAATTGGCTTGCTTTGCAGATTACAATTTGAAGCAGATGTGTGAATGAAAATGATAAAACAAAATTGAAAAGTATTGTTTATTTTACAAAATCAATATACGTATATATGTACAGGGTTCACTAACTTGTCCAGCTGCAGAAATTTAATTACTTTAGGATAATACAAGTATGTATAATTATGTTTTATATTTCGGGTATTGATACTTAATTTGACCATTTACAATTTATTTAAACTGTTTTCGATTATATTAATCAAGTGGCCGCTTAACTGAACATAACATAGTAAAACGAGCTCTTTTTGCTACGATTTCCACGCCTTTTTTGAGCAAATTGGGCTGTATAGCAATGACTTCGGCAGGAATGTTGGCCTTAATTTCGTGAATGATCCGAGGATACTGCCGGTGTACAATTATACTTTTCGTTTTAAATAACTCCATATAAAGAAGGGAGAGAAAGTAAAATCTAAAATTCTGGGGGTTGGCCATGTTACCTCTTTTTGGCATTAGTCGTCTAAGATATTTTTTTTTGTAGAAACTAAATACACAGAGTGAATTGAAACCTGGTATACATATTGATCTAACCTCCACCTTATCGCCGCTAAAGAGGTCTACTATAATGAGCTCCAGGAAATGTTTTTTTTTTTAAGTTGAGCATCACAGAGTCCAGTGTATCGGGATAAAAAAAACTATGTTTAGATGTTTCGTTTCACAAAATTTTCGAAAAAGTTTTGTAGATTAAGTTTTTATTGAACCGTATTCGTAAAGCGTCAGTATTTGGCGCATTATTTTGGTTAGACTAGTACCTGGTTGAGGTTTGCAAAGCAACTAAATCGGTTAGTTACTCAAATACTACCATAAAAGTGGTTGCACCCTGTATGTAAGTATGTACATGCGTATGTAACAACACATATTGAAAATACCTTTTGTTCAAATCTGACTGCAAATATTTTAAAATAATTTTGAGTAAAATTACAGAACTTATACTTATTAAGTTTTTGTTCAGTGGAATGTAAAATCATGAAATTTTAATTAGTTTTAATGCATGAATGCGCATGAAAGTTCGTAAAGAAATTATAAAATATTTACAAAATATTTTTCTCAAGCTTCATATTTTTTTTGAACGAAATCATTAACACGCTAATATTAATATGTTATACTAGTAAGTGTAGAAAAACTTAGGGTCTTTATTTTTGTTGTAATATATATACAATTTTTGGTTCTGTTGAAAAAATAGTATATGACATCTCGTTGATGCTGAAAAGTCGCTAGTTAAAATTAATTGAATTGAATTTAATTTTTATATTGTATTAAAATATATTAAATGTACATAATAAGTATTTTTCAATTTTGTATGTTTACATATAGGTACATATGTATATAAGTAATTATGTATCCAAGATACTTTGCATTATCAGCAATGACTTGTTATGTTTTCTATTTATTGTTGAAATGGCATAATATTTATTTTTATTACCAAGTGAGGAAATGTATCTATGAAATTATAATTGCTTTTACTTATTTATAGGCACAACGCTCACCTGTCAACGTCAGCATCCATTTGTTATAAGTTGTGGGTGGCGTCGTCGTTGCCCGCCGCCAACGACCCATTCTAAAGACTTTATGTTTTACTTATAAGTTTGCAGATAGATCTTTAATGAGTTGTTTGAACTAAGAATTGAGAGAAAATGTATATGATCGAATGTATTTTTTGTATCATAAAAGCTATATATATTTATTATTATTATTTTTTTTTTGAAATATAGTTTTTTAAATTTTGTAGAATTCTTAAAATATACTTAATAGTTGCTGTTACTAGCGGAAAATATTTTTACACTCGCTTCGGATTTCCCCTTGAACGATTTTCCACTAGAAAAAGATTATGGTCTCCCTTTTATACATACGATTGACCGTAACAGCACTTTTTCGCTAGGGGCAAGGTCATTATTATGTCTCTGAGAAATGAAAGAAACCGCTTTACACCTCAACAATATTTTTTCGCAAACGGGGTTGCAAATTTTTTAATTCAAAAATTTCGTTAAATCAACTATTTTTTAATGCATTTTTTTCTAAAAAAGGCACTGAAAAATATTACTCAAGTTCTGCATGTGGTGATCGAGGAACGAAACTATGGACTTTGAAGCACTTGCATCTTCTTCCCATTTTTCAAATTTATCATCTATCCATGTCAGTGCTATCGATTTAACTTTTCGGAGTAATAATTTGAAGTTGAAAGACTTTGGAGATGTCGCAAAAGACTGAAATCTATCAGATCCGAGACATAAAGTCAAAAATTTATTAGAGCTTGAAAGGGGCGTGACTGTATTCAAAAACGCTCTGGATACAACTTTTCATTACGCCTGCCCTACCTGGCGGCTCAAGAACCAAACGAAGCCCCATTGGTGGAACAAGGAGCTCTAGTCTCCCAGGCGCAGAGTACGGGAATTCTGCAACTTGGCCAAGCTAGCAGAAAGCGAGGACTATTGGAACGAGTATAAAGATCCATTAAGGGAATACAAAAAGTTTATGCGCAGAGCAAAACGACAGTCCTGGAAGAACTTTTGTAGCAACTTTGAAACTACCAACGAGGTGGCAAGGATAAGGAAACTACTTGCAAAAGTTGCGAGGAATGCACGAACAACTGTGAGGACTCATTGGAAGTGAGTGTGCACTTTCCTGGCTGTAGGGACGCGATTGGTCCGAGCTATGAAGAAAATAGTGCTGTAATCTTTCCCGAACATATCATTACGGAGAATAAGATAGAATGGGCAATCCGGTCATTCGACACATTCAAATCTCCCGGTACGGATTCATTCCAGCCAAGTTGCATATTGGGCTTTGTCTATTCGTGACTTTGCTAGAGGATAGAGTAGTGTGGTGGACATTAGGACTTACCTACCGAAAGCCAATGGAAAGGGTTTAGAGTATAGCTGCGCGGTGCATAACAGGAGCTCAGAGTACCAGTGCTAAACCTGCCACCTATAGACCACTTCGCTGAAAATTTCGCGGCAAAATCGGCGGGGCGACTGCTGGCGGCAGGAGAATATACATATAGAACCTTCGGGCATAGCTCGGTGCGCAGTGGAGGTTTGGCAATTACCGACTTCCTGATCCCACTTTGGGAAAGAAGGTACAGAGTAAGCATAGGAAAATATGGTTGACGAAGAGGCATGCTAGCTGGGGGCAATAGGCATAAGGCAGCCTTTTAAACTGCCACACCACTGCAGCAAAATTCAAGCAAAGGTTTTTGCTATTTGGAAAACCGCAGAGCTAGCCTCTAATACATCAGCAAAAAACTCTAGAGGCAACATCTACGTGGATAGCCAAGCAACAATCAAGGCATCATTTCGCATATCGGTCGGAAGAAAGCAGGGCAACTGTGGAAAGTATCACTAGATGCAAGCGATTTCACTTCTACTGGGTGCCAGGTCACCAAGGCATCGAGGACGATGAGATAATGGACGAGATTGCTAAGAATGGTGTATGGCTGACACCCGAAAACGTGATCAACATTGGAAAACCCATGCATTGTCTATATGACGATATGGATAGAAGCATGGCAAGCAAAATCAAAACGCGATAGTAGATCGGAAGAATACACACTTCATACTGGCACTCGATAGCAGGGACTGTAGGAACATGAACGGAATACTCACTGATCACTGTTTAGTGGTGGCACACGCCTGCTGAATGGGGCAGACAGATCGAGAAGACTGCAGAAAGGCCTTGGACCTAGCCCTAACCTAACGTAACTCTAACTTAACCTCTCACAAAAATGGTACAAACTATTGAGTATGTCTGATATATATCACTTACCTTTTATCAACCGTATGCAATTAAGAATCACTTGGTTTTATGAGATCAACCAGAGCAGCTTTGTCAGCAACACTACACAACCATCGTATCTGTTCCTCAATGTATTAACGGCCGGCGCCGCCTCCTTAGAACTCGCTTCTCGTTCTGTGATAATTATCCTTTACTGGCGGCTTTCTAATATTTCACTGCTTTGTTTTACAGCAATAAAAAAAATCATTTTACCAGTAGGCGTAGGTGAATTGAATCATTATTAATTTGTGTAATGAATTATCGATTCACAATTAATTAATTAATCATTACAAATTTTTAATTATTAAAATGCAATTATCAGACAATAAGATAGTGAGTGCGTGAGTTTATTTATTTTTGGTACTATACAATAAATTTATTTACAAATATTTTCAGTAATTCACTATTTTCTGAGTAATTTCTAAAAGTAATTATAAAGTATGTAATTGTAGCAATCATTCGAACGTTTTTCGTTCATAAGCGCAAAATCTAAAAAATAAATTGAAAATATATTTTTAAATTAAAAACTGTAGAAAACAGAAGAGCATGCTAAATAATTTATATCAATTTTTTTTTAATAAAAGTATATAATATAAAAGTGACTTTAAAAATATTCTGTTTATAAATTTTTTTTTTTTAATGACAAAATTCTAAAGTGATATTAATGACGTCATTGTGTGAGTGAGGAAGATTTTAAAATCTTGTGCCACATTTCGAATCTCATTTTTGTAGTTATACATGTTTGTGTGTGCATTATTCATTGTGCATGGAAACAATAAAATATTTTACGATCATATGAATCAAATTTATTCAAAATATATCTGGATATACGAAAATGTGTTTAAAATATTTAGCATTGAACTTATTTTGACCTGATAGCTTTGTAAGTAAAAAAACTGAAAAATAGACAACTATATATTACGGGCGTTATTCTTCCTCATAAAATATTTTTTTATTTCTTGGATCTGGGAGTTTGGGATTATATTTTATTCTGTTTAACTTTCTCACACTTTTACTCTTCATAGTTTGTCAAAAGCCATTCCCCTTTGATCTTCTCTAAAGTCATGGAACACTTTAATTCAATGCTCTTACGAAAATATATGATTTCGAAGATCTATGGTCAAGCACAATGAAGTCGTTGAACTTAAAGCAGAGCTACTCTAAACAGGTTGGGATAGAACGCATCTAGTTGAATTTTATTTAAATAAAGTCAAAATATTAGAGACTCAGACTATTATCCAGGTACTTTTCAGTAAGATAAATAAGTTGATTGGCCTTATCACTTGTTTCCGGGATTAGCTTACTTGTTAGCAAAACCCTAACTCTAAAAAAAAATGAGAAAAAAAGGTTAACTTCGATCGTATCGTATCGTATCCCTTCACAAATACAAAATGCATGACAACTATATGCTATTGTGGTCCGATTTCTTCAAAGATTGCACCGTTGCCTAGAACAATAACGCATGCTTAATTTCGTGAAAATATCTCCTCAAATGAAAAAGTTTTCCATACAAGCATTATAAAAAATTGTTTCGCTTCACAATTCTATAAGTCTATTGGACAACGTCCGACTAAAATCTCTACAACTGGGATAAATTAGTTTGGCTAAGAGTAGAATAGAACTATCTATCAGCCGCCCAAGTGATAATTGTTGACCAATTCTAATCAAGCTTATGAATATTCTAGGCGTCTAGTTCTAGACCCAAAGAAAACAGCAGAGCACCGACCTGTTTTTGTAAGCTTATTGAATTTACAGTTTGCCACGATTCCCCTAGAAATCTTATCTTGAAGCATGCTTGGTGCAATTGAAATTGAAATACTCCTTGAGTAATCTTGAGCGCATAGCTATCGAAATCAAGATCAATATTGTGTTTCTGTAATTAGACAGGATGCTCATCTGTCTGAAAGATGTTGAAAAATCATTGCAGTTTCGCCCGTCTGAAATTTGAATTGCTGGAGAGCTTAGAAGACTTCTCTCAACTTTCCGCTGGCTCTTCAATCCCTTCAGGTAGGACTGGCGTAGCAAACTTTTAATATCATGTCAAAATGGGGACCAGAAAACTGCAATGTGCCGGGTAATTGAAAGGTTTATGGGCCTGACTGATGGGACACAATCGAATAATCGTCTCTGGTAGAGAATACTATACTAAAGTTACTAACGGGTGCTTTTTTAAACGGTTTTTAAGTGGTTTTCAATGAGGCAATACTTTCATCTGAGTTGGTCGTTTTAACAGCTGTTACTTGATTTATACTCAGTTTGCTTTGTCATTTTATAATGAACAGATTTACTTCGGAACAAATCGCGCAAATTTATTACCAAAATAATGAGCTGTTCGCGCGAGGCTCCGGTAATTCGGGCAACCATGGATCGGTTCGCACCACGTTTACTCTAGTGCATAACACGCATCCTTGGAGACGCCATACGCTATTGCTGCTGTGGAGTAGAGTATCAAATAAGAAAGTATGCGTTTTATTTCTTCTTTAAAGCCATATGTCTAATAAAAACCCTCTTAACAAGAGGCTAGGGCATGAACGTCATTCTTAACGCATCTCAAATAGATAGTCAGCTGAATGTCATTGTACAGAGACAGCACAGCGTCGAACACTCAGCTGGAATAGCAATTAAATGAAAATATTCGCTATGAAAATCAGAAAAATGTTATTTATAGACTATACAATATCCAGCTGTATGGACAATAAAAAGAAAAGAAAAACAGAAACCACTTGCAGGCCACAAAAACTAATTTAACGCATCGCAAAAATATAAATTGTGTTTGTTAAATATAATTGTCACACGCCCACTTATGCCGTTCATCACTCGTTCAATTCTAATATTAACAAAAATTGTTTTGTATCTCGCAAAACTACAATAAATACTAAGTGTTATTGGACGCTATTTACGTCTGCATGGAAATTAAGTTGTAAAATATATTTTTGATATCAGAAATAAAAGTGTGACTGGCAAATGAGCGCTGCTCGACGTGTGCACAAACAAATTGGCATCGATAAGTGGGTGAGTGCGTCGCATGCTCACATTGAACTCTGGCAAATAATCAAAAAAAAAAAAAAAATAAATAAAATAAAACTAAAAATATATGAACACAAGCGAATGCTTTGAGCGACAACAAGACAAGTGGTAAACTGGCACAAACATACGGACGCACAGCTGCACATATATATGTATGTTTATGCGTATTCTAGTCTGTTCAGCATAAGCGTGTATTTTATTTTAAATCTATTTTTGAACACATCACACTTCGCACACAGAATGCAGTCACCAATAAATGTCACACACATGCACGTCCATGTGTGTGGGCAGTAAATAAAATGTTTTTTTTTGTTTTAGTAAAATTTTAGTTTATTTTCCTCTTTTCGGTTAGTCTTCTGTGCGTCATGTCAATATTTGTTCTCATGCTTTTAGAAACGGGTTATTGTTGACGGACATACACGGCGTATACGTAATAAATTTTGTGGCATCGTCATTTTGTGGGCAAACAGGTGGTTTTCTTTCTCAAAATTATCTACTTTTAAGTTATAATGCAGCATAAGTGTTTCATTTGTTTTACTGTTAGTCCAAAATGAAAACTTTCAACGGTTTGGAATATACCATCTGACCAAATATGAACCGGACTGGTCTATTTAAACTGCATGCGGAAACTGAATCGATAATTTCTTATTTTCTAGATTACAACTTTTTTTATGTTCGTGTGAAGTTTGATCCCCATGTGTCAATTAGTGTGTGTTTGGCAGCAGTTTGTTTACGACGCGAAAAGTTAATCTGTTGATTTTTACCATGGAAAAATATTGACCAACGAGTTTGCTTGAAATTTAGTGTTTCCAATGAAGTCACGGCTACGCATGGTTCAAAATATTGCAGAAGTGTTTCGGAGAGTTTATTCTATCCCGAACACAAGTATTTGAGAGGCATAAAGCATTCAGTGAAGGTCTTGAAGTCGTTGAAAAAGTTAAAGAAACAGTGGTTGAAAATCGTCGTATTGGCATCAGAAAGATATCAGAGGATCTAAACATCTCTTATGGATCTACTAACACGTTTTGGTTAATGTTTTGGGTATGGAGCGTGTCAATGCTAGACTCGTATCAAAATAACTGAATCTTTCGCAAAAACAATGTCAAGTAGAGGTCGCAAAAGGGATGTAAACACTCTCCAACAATCTAGCAATTGACGCTCCAAAAACTAGCTGAGATCTAAGAAACCAAAATTCGCTGAAGTCACTGTAGACCTTTTCAGCCGCGGCTTTTAACAAGTGTGTGAAAAATTGGTCTAAGATGATAAAATTTGTATTAAAATACCTGAAATTTTTTTTTTGTCAGTCCGGCTTAAAGTTGCTCAGATGGTACACTATTCACCATTTAAAACGAGGCGTATAACAAATGGATGAAAAGTTCGACTAAGATGATAAAGATTTGTTGTGAAAATGTGGATTTGGTTGGTCAGTCTAGGTCAAATTTGATCAGATGTTATAATGTTGAACTACAGATAAAGTCTAAAATGGTTGACATAAATACATGCAACATATTGTGAAACACTTTTAGAGGAGAATTACTTCTTCGTGATTCGGTGATTCTCCTCTTTCCACTAAATCCACTAAATTTGGATGAGTCAAATCAAGTTTTCGGTAAGAGTTTACGGTTCACTGAGTTCATTTACAGGATTCCGCTAGCTTTTTAATACAACTAGCTCTTTAAAGAAGAGGTTTAACACCATTTCGGGGGAGTTGTCCCTATTAAATTAGTACAAATTTACTTTGATATCTAACAACGATAACATTTAGAACAAAGTTGGTTCCATAAATGAGTGGAATCTCCTTCAGTTTCGTCAATATACTTTCACTACCATTTACCATTTATTTGAACACGACCATTTCCGGCGTTATCGAAGTCCTTAATCTAACAGCAGTCGCTCTTGCAAGAAAAAGACAAATACGGAAGTGTATTTATTAAGGGAAATATCGTTCATAAAAGGCAGCTGTCTTAACATGGCTTAAACTTTTGGTTTCCTGCATTTGGTGCATAACAGTGAGCAAATCACGAATCGAAAGATAAGATCGGCTAACCTTAACATATTAACCTAGCCAAGCCTACTTCTAACATTTATTTAAGACCCATGAATGATTTTCTAAATTACTGCCATGAGGTAGGTCTTCTTTTTGTGTCACTTTATCAATTTTCTATCATTCTCTAAATATATATATATATATGTTTGTATCATTGTAGCTGTCAACCGTAGTAAAACCGGAAGAAAGAGAGACCTAAAAAAGTGTCAAACTGCAGCTTTGACAGTGAGAACACAAACATATAGACATGGATATACATATGTACAAGTATATATAGCTTTGTATTGTTGAGAAAGACTGAATTATTGCTTTTGTTACAAAATCGGAAGCTGTGCGATAATCAAATGTTGCACCGTCTATTAATACTACCTTGTTTGTATATTTGTATGTATATGTTAATTGTGGCGTGCTTTGATGACTGCCTTGCCGTGTGTCAACAACAAATTTATGTAACGCACTGATTTATCGATTACCGAAGTTACAAAAAAGGTGTGAATATTAATAGATACATACATACAACATTACAAATACTTGGTTTTGTTGTTGTTTTAGTATGATTTTGCCAAACACACGAGCAGTTCGCTTGCCATGTCATCGTTTCATAATTAATCGATAAAGAAAATGTTGCAAAAACCGAAAAGGTAAAACAACAAAAAACAACTATGCATATAAATAAATACAGGCTTAAAGATCTAACTACACGTGTGTGTGTATGTGAGTAAATACAAATGTTTGTATATACATATGTATATGCTACAAGGTTTAATACCGAAACCGTGTCAGCGGCAACAATAACAATAATAGGTGACTACCGAAATTTTACAACAACACGCTTGTAAGTAGGCAATAGAGGTTGTCAAAAATCTATGCCAACTGCGCTGCAGGCGCAGATCCTTACAATAACTATGTTTTGCAACATAAATTTTCACTTTCCTTTCGCAAAAATTTTGCTGTTGTTGTTGTGATTTTTTTCCTTGTATGGCTTTTTAACACATTTCAATTTGCATTTTCATTAGCTTTTTTGTTGTTTTTTTTTGCTACACTATTTGCTAGTTTTGCTTAAACTTCACTTTTTCAAACTCCAGCTGACTTCGCCCGTTGGCCTACGCTCACCCGCTGCCTCCTCCGCAGCACGCAATCAATTCATCGATTCTTTCCTACTTGGCATGCACTTTTTTCATTCTACATTTCTCTGTGTATTCCAAATGCCAAGCACACGTTATTGCTTTGTTTTCGCTTTTGTATTTCTTATTAAATTTTTTTGCACATATTTTACTTTTGCAATGCTCTTATTTTATTTTTCACAAATTTTCACCAAAAATTTCTAATTAAAAATTTGCATGCTTTAGTTGTTTCCACTTATGTATTATATGGGTGTATATAAGTATGTGTGTGTGTTGCAGACAATTTGACCGTGCGCTCAAGCTGTTCCGTTTTGTTGCGCGTTATCCGCCGTTACGAGAGCAACTGACTCGGCCGAAAGTTTTTGGGTGGTCGCTCAGTCATATTAGCCGAATTTGTTGGCCATCGGGAGTATTTTTGTTGACATTGCTTGTGGTATTTCCCGTTCAGGGATGCCAACGCGCTTGCATTATTATCGCTTAGAATGTGCCATGTGATTTCGGGTGAGAGGACAAGAGACTACCGCCTTATAGGATACTTGAGTAAAAAATATACGTTGAACTTAAAAAAATTATTATTAACTTTGCAGAAAAAACTTTAATTGTTGTTGTTGTCCTTAATGTAGAGGCATACAACATTTTTGATATGGTTTTGCGGACATGCCGTTTTAGTTATTTAGACCTGACTTTCGTGGGAACGTGTCCATTGAATCTTTCCCTCTATCTGCTGGCATTATCTTCGGAAGAAGAAAGCTTTTCTAACAAATGGACTGTCTCTTAAAAACCATATACTTGTATGTAGTCCTCTAAATAGGTATCCATTATATAAGTTTTTCCAATATCTCTGTATTAATATTTTTCTAAAAAATATATTCTCTCAGAGTTGGCAATCCAACTTGTATCCCACTCTCACATCTCACGGTTCTAAACATGTTTAGCCGACAAATGTGGTCGGCGAAATTTGATTTTAATCCCACAATGTCTGCATCTATTGACATTCGCTTGGTTGTTTTGTTGTTTTTAGCTGTGTCAAGTGGGATTCCCTGAACGACGTATGTAGATATGCCACAACAAGTGTTTTACGTGAAAAGCGTGATGTTCGAAAGAGCTTCCGAAAGCTTTCTTGCGATTGCTTGGAAGCTTGTAAGACTGTTTGACGCCCAGCAAAGTAATATTTCAAGTTGTGTTGGGTAAATATAGTGTTTATTCATATTTATTTATTCATATAAAGTTTAATAAATCCGTTCCGTTTGGTTCACATGTTTAAAAAAAAAACAAAACGTTTTAAGGCTCTTGCTCTTTCAAATCGAATACTCTAACAACTAACTCTTTAGTCGGATATATGTATATAAATCCACATCACCCGGTCAAGTAATCGCGGCTGTCATACGACAGTTTCTGACATTTTTTTGTTATACTATTATATAAGCCCTGCTTAATTTTGACACCGGATGTTGCAATAAGTGTCATCTAACGGTTTGTACACGAACCAAACAAGAAGGATATTAGATACAAGCATGGGGATACTAATAAGATAGTTACGACGCAGATCATATAATAATGTGTGGTAACCATTCATAGCCAGTTAAGTGTTCGAGTTCGTTCGTCTTGGGAACATTATTATTAGTATTCAAGATACATGAACACACGAAAGGTAAAGAAAGCTGGTTTTTTGACGATTCTGGATTAGGTAAATAGTGTCTTATGTCATCACATTATATATATGTGGTAGTAGAAGCATGTAGGTGTTTAACCTACCACAATATCCAGAACCCAATCAGCAATTCTAGCTCTTCGTCCTCGATGATTTGACACGGTGTATATCAATTTTAGTTCTTGATGTTCCTGGGAAGTGTTTATGCTTCAATCAAATACCTGTTGATATGGTTTTAATGAAAACATGCCAGCAGGTATTTTTAGACATATATTGAGGAGACATCAGGAGGCAACCTATCACTGTGCGAAGGTCATGGCTTTCACGATACTTTAGTTTCCTCACCTTTGACCTAATAGTGCCACTAGTGCTCCCTTGTCTGTTCCACAATTCAGGCCCTTAGCGACTTTAGGTTTTTGTTTTGTATAGAGTATTGCAATGGATCAGATATTAGCGTTAATAATAATAATAATAATCAAATCAAATATATACACCTTCATCCTAGTAGTAAACCGAGCGTAGATGAATTAGTTGGAAATGTGATTAAATTCTTTGTTAAAAAAAAAAAAAAACAAGAAAAACCGCTGACTTCGGTTGCACCAAAGCTTCCATGTTTTATTTCGATCTGTCAGTTTATAGGCCGATTTGAAAAATATCTTCTGAGATTGTAGTGTAGTCTTGGAAAATAATCTATACCAAATTGCCTGAAGATATATTCTCGAATAAAAGTTTTTAATACAAGAACTTGACTTTGATCATTCAGTTTATATGCCGGCTATGTATATGCTATAGAAGTCCAATATGAAAAATTTCTTAAGAAATTTAGCATTGGCTTAAAAATATCACCTACACTAAATTTCGTTAAGATATCTTGTCAAATAAAAAAGTTATTCATACAAGAACTTAGTGGTCCAATATCGGCGCCTCCGACAAATTAGCAGCACCTTGGAGAGAAAAGGTTCCATATATACAGACAGGCAGACGGATATGACTTAATCGACTCAGCTCCACGTGATCATTTATAAATAGTATATACTTTATAAAGTCTTCGACGATTTCTTCTGGGTGTTACAAACTTTATGGCAAACTCAAAATAACTTGTTTAGAGTATAAAAAATATAGTTTAAAAAAACTAAAAAATACACTTTTAAAGCACTCCAAACTAAAAAGTGAAAAATAATTCCTTGTATAAACTGACAGAAATATTGACTGAAAAATATTTGTATTATTAAGAGAAAAGCGTGATGGGCTCGATATACGAAAATTATGACACGCACCATACCACGCTTTTCTCCCAATAATACAAGTATTTTTCGGTCAATATATCTGTCAGTTTACATTATATAAGGAATAATTTTTTACTTTTTAGTTTAAAGTGAGTTTTTAGAAAACAAATCATGAACAGATCCAACTGTGATCTAATCTTCTTGTTTTTTTGTAACGGTTTTCTTACCACTGTTCGGATGAAAAACAAACTTATTGTCCGAAGGCATCTAATTATAAGCTGAGGAAGATATTTTGATGGGTTCGGACCATAGAGAATGATGATATTCTCACACTGACCCTGTTTGGGTCGGTAACTAGAAGTAAAGAGTGTTAGATGACGATTTGACCTCATAGAAGTCAATTAACATAAAATTATTCAATTTACTTAATTCGTTTGCCAATTTTTTTATTCATAAAATGGTTTTGAATGGATTATTTAGTAAATTTTAAAATAAAATATTGCAATGCAGTGGTGCCACATACTGTAATTCCGTACTACACATACAAACATTAAGTGTCTATTACTACACAAAGGAGATTCCTAATATTGCGCATGACGTTTATATAACATACATTTATTTTTATTTATTTTTTTTTTATTCGTGTCTCTTCAAATCGAGTAACTTGGTTAGTTTAATTCCGCCCGACTTTGTAATTTTTTTCGAAACAAAAAATGTGCCAATTTAGCAGCAATTTCTGTTTTAGCACATCAATTGTAGATACAAAAAGCTTTTCATCTTAAAACTAAATATTATTACTTTATGTATGTGTTTCTGTATACAACTGCAATGCGTATGATATTCTACCGAGCCTTTGTAAAATCTACTTGCATCTCGACGACGTTTACACTCAAGTCCAACGGGAGTTAAAATTTTCTTCAAATCGTAGTTTACATTGCGTTGTATTTGCGATGATATTTTGTTGTTGTTGTTGTTGGTTTTATATGTATCATGTAGATACTACTATTTGCAGTCGTTACAGTCCTTTTGTTTAGAGTCTCTTCATTCAAATATTTAAAAGAACAAAAACAAGATAAAAATAAAAAACTAGTATTTAGAACATTCCACCGTAGGGTGCATCAAATTCACTATCTCTCATTGAATAAGCGAATATAGTTAAATAGTTAATCACATTACTGATAATTGTAAGTGTAGCTGCGGTCCAAGTAATCTAAAAAGTAAATCAGATTAGAAGACAATGTGTGTATATACATATGCACATATATGAAGATTTTTCTTACCACTTGACTATGCGCTAGTACCATTGGAAAAGCAAATGCACTCAGCACCATACCAGCGCAAAGGAATAGTGCGAACTCTGTCTTTGGATTAGTTTCATTGCCTTGATTGAAGCGTTTGGCTACGAATACCGGTAACACGGATAGGACGTAAAATAGCAACACAAAGAACGGATAGAAAATCTTCGGTTGTGGCACTGCGCACGCCAATATAAGGAATGTCATGCCCAAGCATGTTAAAAATGCGCACACTAGTAATCTGTATTAGTAAAGCAAAGTGGAAAAATAAATAAACAGTTTACACAACGCAATAATGCCTGTGACAGACATGTGGTAACAATACCATACTATGAACGAATACCAGATACATATGTATCACCATAAACTAGCACTTTACCATGTGAGCAACCCAGTAAAAAATGTATGGATTCATACCAAAATCGAGTAATTAAGGAGTAATGACTCGTTCATCCATTTTCATTAAATGGGCACAAAACGTTTAGTTTTACAAAAATCTTCTTCGCTTATTACTACAAAATAAATGGATAAAGGATAAATAATAACGGCAAATTATAATTGTTAACTGTTGTGAAACTCCTTTAGCTTTCAATAAACGCGTATTTTGACACTTTAAATTAGTCTGAATTTTGTAATCAACGCGTGAACGTGAATCAAGTATCGCGAATATATACAGTTGTTTTACGGGTAAAAGGTGATTAATTATACATAAGCAATACATAAAAATGTGTAAAAATATTTATTCTCTCGTTACTTAAGGCAATTAGTGAAAAACGAAGCTTTAAAATAATATGGAAAATAAACTAGCCGAAATCGGGACGTTAAAAGAAACTATGTGCAAACAGACAGTAATATTGGATGCGATTGGAAAAACCTTACGCCCAATTAGTATTGACTTGCAAATTTGTCCAATCAATTCTCTGGTTGAGCTAAACAAAAGAGCTGATTAAAACAAACCGAAATCCGAAGTGGTAAGACCAATTTCATCAATCTTTTTGCAAATAGAAAAGTTATTTGGAGTTTTTAATGTTTTCCAGATTTGCTATATAAAATTCATGTTCGATAAGATCTAACTTGAAAAGCGCTTACCAAAGATTTTACACAACAACGTTTTGCTAAAAGTCAACTGGGATGCCTCGACAAACAAAACACCGATAAATAATTTCCTTTTTTTCGGCAAGATCTGAGTTTTTTATATTATATAATATCTTAGGTAACTAATATGTTATCTACTTTTTCATCTTTTGCAGAATCCGTTAAATAACACTTTACATCATATGGGGATTTTGAAAAATCGATTAAACTGCCCTTTAGAAACGTAAGGCAACTTTCTACCAAAAGACCTATTCACCAAAATCTTTTCCGACTCAGAACTTTTCGTATATATTATATTAAAATAAGCTCTACCATTTAACAACTATTTACTGTATTTTTAATCATTATAACTATTTTTGTGAAGTGGATTACTAATTTTTAAAAATATATAAAAAAAAGCAGTCACTTTTCGTGCTCTTTCTGGACACAAAAAGCACATTACTCTTTTTGCGCTCTTTACGGAGACAAAGTAGATCACTCCCTCTGCCCTTGTTTCGGAGGTCAAAAAGAGCTTAAGGAATGTTCGATTTGCTTTCTATTAACTGTTCAGAAAGTGTGATCCCACGCCATGACATGAAGTGTTAAAAAGGAATATTAATTGCATGACGCTAGATATGTAAAGTAATCCATTGCTCGCAAAGGAACGATCTAATGTTATCTTTGGATAATCCGACTTTTTACACAGCTAAAACAATATGTAGCGAACTTAGATAAAAGCTTTTGCACTAAAGCTCTTCAAATTTTCTGCAAAAATGACAATTAAAAGTTAATGGAAAGTATGAAAAAAATGCGCATTTAATTGAGCACTGCCGAAACGAAGTCCTTATTTAAAGTTTGGAGCCAACATGTGGAAAAACTGTTGCCTATCAAAAAAAAGCTTGTATTTGAGTTTACTAAATTGATGAACATATGTGTCATCAACCGTAGTAATCCAAATATCATAGTTTTTATATTATGGTATTGTTAAATTTCTGTCACGGGCATAAGATTAGGTTATCACTTTGGATCTTTTGTTAACTTACGCTATTATGTACATATATAACCATTCCGTCATAGAGATAATGCATCAGCGCAGCAACAAAGCACATACAAAAAATACAAGAATAATATTAAACAATGATGAAACAATGTAATTTGTCTTATATTACCCTTTAAAGCAGCCATTTTTTAAACTACTTATTGGATTTATTATAAATTTTCACTTGTGATCCTTTTGTGTGTTTACGAAAATTGTTGTATCTGCATTAATCATCAATAAAACAACCAAGAGTAATCAACTGTCAAAATATAGAGTTACCGGACATTTTTAAAGTAAATTTTCTACTGTTATCAGTTTTGCGAATTTGTAAAAACTTAATTTAAAAGGTAATCCTAAGTGTTGTAATAATAAAAAATGTTGAATTTGTTAAGAATAAAAACATTGTATGTAAAATTAACTGTAGTTAAGTTATTATTCCACTTTGATATCAACTTTTGCATCTTATGGCAACGTTATTGAGAACAGTTTTGACAATACAAATTTATTAAGGAACAGCTGACTTCCTATCGAAGAGTTGCTTTTCCAATGGTATAAAAATGTTATGAACAAATATATTCGAAATGTGCACATTATATAATTGCATATTTAAATTAAAATAACTGCTATTAATATGTGAAAACACCAAAAGTAAGTGAATTGTATATTTGTTTAGTAGTATAGAAGAGAAGATTTGAACTTTTTACGAATTTGGCACATCTTCAAAATCTAGTAAAAGAATTAAAGAATGCTGCTAAGGTAGAAACTTGGTTTGCAAAATTCCATTTCCCTTCCGTCTTTTGTACAATCCGATGGTAGGCGGAAATAAAAACAAGCTTAAGGCGCTTTCACATACAACTTACCTCGCTGTGTATGAGAGTTCGTACTGAAACAACGAAGCGTAGAAAACAAAGGTTATGCCACAATGAAGGCTTTGCTTTCAGTGTTTTTGTCTTATAAAAATGGCGCTATTGTTTGACAAAGCATAAAAAGACGAGAGCTGCCCAACATTTTGCTTAGCTTCGCATCGAAAACGTTTTATGTGAACGTATTCATACCGAAGCGTACATCGAACTTTTCTGTCAAAACAACTGTCTGACGCAAAGCGAAACAAAAGTTCTATGTGAATTGGTCATTAGGGTGTTAACTTATGGCAAAGCAACAACAAGTGTTACAAAGTTGGTTTAAATTCTAGAGTTTATAGCAGATATCTTTCAATACTGGAAGCACTGAAAATGTGTTTATGTATATATGTGTATGTGTATAACCTATTCTTTAACAGTTTTCGATAAGCCGGGTATGTTGTTGTTCAAAAGGAATATTCTTGTGGTCCAAAGTATCTACCATTCAAAGGGTTTGTTGGTAAAAGTAAAATTAAAGTAGCGCCATTTTCGTAGTGAATATACATCCATATTTATATTCTGAAACTACCGAATCTGCTCTTTAAAATTAACAACAACTTTTGAATAGGAATTCACAGTGTATTCATTTGAACCCGACCACTTACGTAGGCTCTCATAGCGCCAATGAAGAAAGCGGTATATAATATTTAAAATATGCATATTAATTGTATTAATATAACTCATTTCTTCACAAGTTGCTTGCATTGTAACATAATTATTACGCCTTTGACAAAGTTGAATATATCACTTGAAGCCTTATTACAATACATTACGCGTTCAAGGCTGATTTAAAAGAACTAATAAAAGCAGCGCAACCGACATAAGGACGAACCACTATCAACAACATATTGCCATTACCATATAACACTAGTAATTCAACCACTGGAACAAATGGATAAGACGCGAACGTAACCGATTGAATGCCAGCACTGCGCCAATTGAGAGACACAAACCGACCTACTACACAAACAAACATTCATATATAAATGTATGTATGTGTGTATATGTAAATAGGTATGTATGTATGTAACTAGCACTTGGCTTAGGTTAAAGGAGCTTGAATGATTTTTATGGCTTTACTATGTGCTGATAAGGGCAGCACTGCCTCATCAAATATATATTATATTTCAGTGGAAACACACATTAGCATATTAGCATTAGCATTGCACTAGTAAATTGTATGTAACCAATAAAATTGAGTACAAACATACACATGTATATATGTATGTATGTATGTATGTATTAGTATATAGTATGTAGTATATATGTATGTATGTATGTATTAGTATGCATACATATACATATTTTCTGAAAAGCTTTGCTATGCGCAAAACCCACACGTCACTGGGGCACAAACACGAAATCTGTATTCGTGCTTGAGGAAAATCTGCAAATATTTGTTTATTTCTTTGTGAACGCCGAAAAAGTTCAATGGAGCTACCGAAATGGGACGCGCATGAGCGTCGAGTCCTTCAAAAAAATTTCATTGATGAAAAATTTTGTCCTATCCCACATGGAAATAGGTTTAGCACCCGCGCTGTATACCTGCTGCTACTGCTGCTGCAGCGGCAAACATTCGTACACAATAACAAAGCTACAAGCACTGCAGAGCTAGAAACTTGTTGGCCACTATATATAACAAGTGGCAGAGAGCCATCCATACAGTTGTACATATGTACATACATAGAGCCAGAGAGCAAGTCCAGTTCTATTCATACCATCGCAAAGTGGGGTGGTACTTGCTGCTTTTGTCAGATTCTTCGCTTACTAGCGCAGCGCCAATGCCATCGCCACCTGTTATAGGTATTTCAATGAACTGCAGTTGAAGGTGAAATGTGCGGCAGGCGGCGTCGGGGGCGTATACAAATACAATGCAAATTTAATGCAAAGTCGCTTCGCACCGCAGTGGCGCAGTTGTGAGTGACTGAAAATTTGATTTGCCTGTATACATGAGTGTATGAGCTAGTAGAGCTTTCGCAGTATAATGCTGATTGTGTGTGTATACGCGCTAACGGTTAATCATACGCCTGCGTGTACTCAATAGCGAAGAAGTGCAGTGTGCATAGTGTGTAATAACGGCAGTTGAAGAGGTTTTTAGTACAAATAAAAAATTTATTGCAGACTTAAGTATCCATCGCTTAAGTTAAACTATTTTTGCAAATATATAATATTTAATTTGTTTTTTAACATATTTGTTATACATTTTGATGACATTTTATTACATTTGCAGACTTTTTTAGAATTTTTGAATCACAATTTGTACGCTTCGCATTATAGTAGTGCTTTCAATAGAAAGTTGAAATATTTATAACTCAATGAACATTGAAGGCGTTATTTTACTGTAAGTTTTCCAGAATTTTAAAACAAAAAGGCTGCGTTGGTGGTTGATTGTAGAGCTGCAATCCTTAAGGACCCTCGACCGAAAAATATTTGCATGCAGTTTTGATTACGAAAAAGACAATGATGTAGGCATTTTTTTATTATAACATTTTATTCATTTCGGATAAAAATGCTATTTGGACAGAAATAAATACGAACAATTCTTTTAACAAATTAAATGCTTTCAAAATTTCAAGCGAGTTATGCTTCCGGTTTTGTAAACTTTGAAATGTAGTACCTTTATAACAACCCACAATTTATTCCATAACTATAATCTATTTTACTATAACTTATATTTAAGGTAATGTTGATGAGGTTGATGGAAAATTCTATCACACATCTGACCAAGGCGTAACTACGAAATATATAAATAAATGAACTGATTCGAATCATGGCTGTTACCTGACTTATGCTCAGTTTAGTTTGCCATTTTGTAATTAACAGGCTCCGGAACAATGTTTGCAAATCGTGCAAATGTATTTCCAAAATAATGGTTCTCGGATCACCTGAATGAGTCCATCTGCCCTCGCGCGCAACAATTGGAGCTGTGCGCACCCCCTTTATGGAAGATTTTGCTGACGGATCCTGAGTTGAATATGAATGTGCCCAAAACGAGATAGCTAGCGATGCCGATTTTCACAAGAAATTTTTTTTCAGCAATGAAGCTCACTTTTGGCTGAATAGGTAGGTAATAAACAAGTTTGTCGTATTTTTATTGATGATAATCCACATGTTCATATTTCTTCAAAAATGAAGGCGACCATAATATTATAGTCAATTTGAAACGCTGTAGAGCCATGATTATTCAATAGTGTTGTGAAAACCAAGACAGTTTTGCTTCACTGTCAGAATTGCAAACCAATTTTGATTTTCAATGGTGTCACAGAATCTGATTGGATTTTCGTCTTTTCGAACATATGGTAAATATGCAAAACCAATATTCGAATAAGCTATTTACTTATAAGAGGAAACTTCCAAATGAATAAATTTGAGAGCATTTGATAAATTTAAAATACTGAATAAATTCTATTAAAGTTTACAATGAGTTTACAATGAATTCCGCAATTTTAGCCTTTATTTTAGTGGAAGAAAAAAACAACAAAAACAATTAAAAGGAAGATAGATAGCCCACTCAGCTGAAAGTGAGCCTCTTCGGAGACGATTTGTTCCAAGGCAAAATCAACAAAATCACGAGGATTACGGTGGTCCAATGGCTTCAGTTCTTAAGTGAGAACAATTTCATACGGATGCAAGTCCAATTCCTTTCTTAAATTCCACCAGGTTGTGGTTTGAGACAACCCCATTTCTTGAGAACGTCTTGGATTCGATAAATCGGTCTTCAGCAACACTTGCCTGAACGGCAGCAATATTTTCATTACTTCGAACGATTTCTTTCTTACATTATGTAAAGAAAATGTACGCTCGAAATTTTTAACAATTCTACGAATAGCGAGCACAGGTAGACGATTATTACGACCATAAAATGGCAAAAGCGTACGAAATGTTGCAGTTGGAGAACGATTAATTTTATAATAATAAAATTGAATAATTTGTAACGTTGTTCTTTCTATGAGCAAATTTTAAACATTACTGAATACAATTATAAATATTAAAAATGGCCAAAACGAAAATAAAAATCATATCATCCCCATTAGAAAACCCGATATAATAATAATAATTTTCTTTGGGTTTTTAGATATAATTCTAAGCAGTAAAATCTTCCACACCGTCACCTTTTTACAGAGATCTTCCTGGAGATCGGCTAAAATGAATAATCAATTTTTAAAGTGTATTAAATTCTGTAAATGTAAATTCTTTCTATTTATTTATTAAATAAAAGGCTTCTTAAAAAAAAAACACATGTTTTCTGACTTGCAAGAAAATATAACCCCTTAACCCGTTTGATTTGTAGTTGAGTTCGAAAATCGGGAAAGAATATTTTAAGATAATTTAGTTTCATAACCCCTAAGGGTATGCTATATTCACAATACAATCGAAAGCAGCATTTCATTTCTCAACAAAATTTTTCTTTCTTACTTTTTTTGCTTCAAGACACTGTACCGCAACTCAACCAACAGATTTGCAATACTGCATTAAAGCACCAGCACACCAGCCAGCCAACCAACCGGCTACTGTCTCCTTTGTCTCCGAAAGCTTCGTTGTTTTTTCTCTGCAATTTAGCTACTTAGTATCCGTTGCCGTCAGTGGCAGGAGCCGGAGCTGGAGCAGCAAAACAGCGGCAGCTTGGCGCACTACACACACCCAACGTACGCTCTCACCACTGCGCTGCGGAGGCGTTGAAACATTGAAGCATATGCGACGACGACACCATTAACATTTTGCGTCACAGCTCGAAAGCTACAAGTTTCAATCGAATGCCGAACAACGAACGACGAAACCACGACACGGTTTGTGAAAAAACGAACGTGTCATAGCGTTCAAGCTCCAACCGTGGGACGTTAGCGAACGCCAATTCAGTACAACGGGACATTTCGTTGCTACCAAAACGAACGAAAACGAAACGGAAAACTAAATTTGAAATTAAATGAAAGAAACTCAAAGGTTACTGCTGAACACACAGAGCAAACGCCTACACATAAAATAGAAAAGAGGAAATTAAAGCGAAAAGTCGACGCTTTACAAGTAAAAATTTTCACAAAACCCAAAGTGTAATTAAGTGTACAGTCAATTTGAGTGGCAGCTTGTGAGACGCAAGTGCAAAAAATCGCAAGAAAAAGCAAAAATCTGTTAGTTACATACGAAAGATTGTGAACTGCCTACGCGCGTACGAAAATCGATAGTGAAACGAACGAAGAGTGTGCAGCGGGCGCGCGGTACACAACACAACAACAACAACAATAACAGTAAAAGCAATTTTGTGCGCACTGCATTAAAAGGGCAAACGCCAAACGGCAACACACGAGCGTACATACACACACGCACCGCCAGCTGAGTGCCACAAAGCGCACCATATGGCAGCAGCGAAAAACGAAAAAGCCAAAATTTGATTGCAATTCGCCAACGAACACGCAAGATTGCATTGAACTCGCTGAACTTCATTCTTCAACTTCCACGAATTTGCACAGCGTGTGCCGTGAAAGTGTGCCCCGTGTACCCCACCCTGTGAGGTGCGTCCGTAAGCAAGTGACAGCGTTCGACGCGGTGCTGTAAGCGCTGTGCCCAAGCGACGTTTATAATGGCTAAGTGCGGTGCAATCGCGCTGGCCCTGCTCGCTGCAGTGCTGCTCAGCATTTTGGGTCACTGCGAGATGTCCGTTTACCCAGGTACGTATCGGCTAAAAATAGCACACAACGCAACTGCAATAACACACAAGTAACAGTAATGGCTATTATGACAACAACAACAATAATAACATGTACACGATTACAAAGTTACTGCTGAACACCCGCACGCTTACAAAGACACAGGCGCGCGTGCGAAAGCAACAGCGAAAAGTAAAAAGCAAGAAAAGACATTAGAAATGATTAAATTTAGAAATCGAATTCAAATAAGCAGTTATTTATAAACACGAAGACAGCGCTTAACCATGCAGAACATGCAATAGAAACTTGCCATTGTAATTTATGTGTGTGTATGTGTGTATGTAGTGACAAGGAGCAGGACAGACAGGGACACACAGCGCTCCTTTGACCATTCGCACGATGGCTTTTGCTATTTTTAAACATTTCCATGCCATTTGCGTGCCGAATGCCATTTCGCAAACAACTTTACACTTTTGCATACATATAGCATAGCTGTATAACTGTATGTATGTATGTATATTCTTGAAAATCAGCCAAAAGCAAATAGAGTAGACACCATGCCACAAACCACATTCAGTAACTCGGCGCAAAGTGAATACATATGTATATATATGTATATGTATGTATGTTTGTGTATACTATTGTAATATATGAATGTATGTGTGTGTTAGCGCAACTTCGTTAGGCCAGAGTGTTGAATTCAACACACAATAGTAATCAATTGAACACTTCGCGTATCGAAAAGATATTGAAAACACACACACACACATACTAACAATATCCACATGTCTACTCAAAATGTAATCCCACATAAAGCCTATTTGGTGTTGGTAGAAACTAAGAAATGCGGATTAGGCGAATAAATAGGAAGCGCCGAAGTATGAAGGAGGAGAAGGAGGCACACAGCGGGCTGGCCGAGCAAAACTGTAGCAACAATTATCATTAATGGATACATGCACACTGCCAATTGCACATATATACATATGTATAGATGTAAATGCGTGTGATTGTTATTATTGTACTCCAAAAACCAAAACAAAAAAGCAACAAAGCTCGGCACTTCATTGAGTTTCGTGCAAGCTCGCTACAAGCTAACTATATATATATATGTATACGTACATCTTAATACTATATACCGCCGAAACGCGTCAGCAATGCGTTCGTGTTTATGGCCAACACCCTCGAGCACCGCTATTCGCTTGCTCACTCCGGTCCAACATTGTATTCTACGAATTGAATTCCAAATATAGATCTTACCTACATGCATACGTAACACCGTTATCCGACAAACAAACCTCGGCGCTGAACTTTAGCACGCTCCTTGCTGTTTTTGTTGTTCTTGATATCCTTTTTTTCGTGGCTTCGCTGTCATTTCCGATTGCAATGCGGCGCTATAATGGTTTTCCTTGGTATGGGGTTGCCAGCTGCCGCAAGCTTTCTTCCCATTCACCTGCTTGCGTGTAGTTGTTGGTGGAGTTGCGTAAACTTAGTTGGGTTGGGCAGCAATGCAGCCTATATTTCGGTCTCCGTAGCTTAATTATCTGCATAAAAATAGATTTCTTCACCTCACCTATAAATGGTGCATTTCTGTTAGACTTGGTGACATATGGTTGTAATTAAAGGAATTATACGAGTATAAATATCTCGAAAATCAAATTGAAATTTCGCTTTTGTCAACTCAAAAATATGATAATTTGTTGAATAAAACTTAAAAGAAGAATTTATTTTTATAAATAGTTTTGTTTTTTTTATTTCATAAAAACTAACACCTCTAAACCCAAATATTATACCTATATATAGTCACAAATTCCAACAAATCACTTAGTCTACAAAATCATAGCTTTTTATTTCTCAAAAATTTCCATTCAAAGTTTTAATGATCTGAAGACACCTAGTCGTATACTAGAACTGGTAAAACAGCCTGTGATGACCAGAGGAAATACTAAGAAAATACAAAAAAAAAATGTATAAGCCGAAGTATACCTTTTAAACTAACTCAATCCTCCATCAGTTCGAGATTTTCGCTCTTCTCTCAGCCAATCACTTATTTGCACTTAACACCAGAGGAATTGTAATGAGTTGAGTTGAGTAAGACTGTTTCCTATATCTATCATACATATGTATATTCAGCTAAAAAATGAAGTACCCATTTAGTTGCTCTCTTTAGAGTCAAGGGAGTTTTTGAATACTCCCTACTCTCAGCGGTTCGAAACATTGAAAGTTTTTAATAAAATACAAGTACTATATAAGACTTTTTAGTTCTATTTCCGAACACCTCTGTAGATCAATAAACATTTTTTTGATTCTTCTTATACAAATTCTTCTATTCCTCCAAATAATTTTTGTACGCACATGAGTTCAAAATTAAGCGAACTTTAACATTTTTCTTTTCCAAAGGCCAATCAGTAAAGGTGCTACTACTACCAGAAATTTAACGGCGTTGTTGTTGCAACAACTACTCAAACACTGCTTCGGGTTGAAATCTTAAGGAATACTTAGTGAAAATCAGTGTATGGGCATAATAAAGAAGCGATTTTACCAGGTTTGCAAACAAAGGCAGAATCGGGTTTAATGAGCCGAGTTTGCACACCTAAGGCAATTATTATGGTATATAAAAATGTATATTGGATATGCCTAGGTCAAACCTGGAACATAATTGTGTTGAAGTTACTGTTTCTTTAGAAATTTGTTCTAAATTATCCTGTATGAAATAATATATATCTGTTTATAAGTTAATGAAATTTTAAAATTCGGAATATCGACGATCTCATTCGGACTAGCGTTATTTTTGGCCAGGCAATCGATGTAATAAAAGGATCTATAGAGCTTATAGACTTAGATTTCACTTCGATAGGGAACAGGGTTGCTCATTCCTAAGTTAACTAATTTTGGATTAAAAAATAAATTTTAAATTGCAATTTTGTAAAAAGTGAAAATCGATTCCACAATGTTCGGATTAAAAATTTGAAAATTTAATTTTTAATTAAGAAATCGTAATTAAACATTGAAAATTTAAAAATATTTAACATTTAATTTTCATCTCAAAAACAGAGTTAAAATTAAAACAAGTATAAACCGATTATCGAGCGATGAAATAGAATCGAATAAGATGACTCTCTGCGAGCTCAAAATTGTTAGAACACGAATTACACAAGCACGAAAAAATTTAAATTCAAAAACAAATTTTTTTTAATTCTTAATTATAAACTTTTGATTAAATTTTTTTTATTTTTCAAATCGGTATTCGGGATTAAAAAAATAATTCTTAATTATAAACTTTGTTTTATTTTTCAAATCGGTATTTGGGATTAAAAATAATTTTTTTATGCCTCAATCCGGTAACTGGGACTAAAAATGTATTGTTAATTCTTCAATCCAGTATTTGGGAATAGAAATTTGAAAATTATTTTTTATTAAAATAATATGGATTACAAAATAAATAAAAAAAAATTAATTAAAACGTTAATTAAATTATGCTTTTAAGGCAACCCTGATTGGGAATTGAACCCATGATCGAGCATGTGATATTTGGGAACTCTTTTATAGTGATCATGAACAATTCAAAAGCCACTGGCATATTTGTTGGCTCTAGTAACCTATAAAGAACTCACATGTCCTTCATACATTATTTTTACTTAATTACTTCGGCAAAAGTAACCATCTGATAAATGTATAATGTGGAATTATGGATTGTTTTTTTATTTTTAATAAATATTTTCCCAACCAAATAACACACATTTTACCAGCTGGGTCGCAAATTTCGGTATACCAAAATATTTTTCTATACTATAGTGTGGAAAATCAGACGCGCGCATGCATACATAGTATAGTTACATTCACAAACACGCGCGAGCAAACATGCACGCGCACAAACATATCATTGCTTAGACATACATACAAGTATATGCACATATTATATCTGATTATTTGATATGTATATACAAGTATAATCAGTGTACATGCATATGCACTTATGGTATATATCTTATCCGACGTCATTGCCGAAAGCGGATACCAGCTCCATACAAAAACAAAAAACAAAAAAAAACACAAACTAGAGCCAAACTACCGCCAACACTCCACCAATGAATATCCTCACAAATGCGACACATTAGCACAGCAATCTCACACCAACTCTTCAAACACCTCTGCAACTCCTGCCGCCACCATACCGCTGTGTTGGCCAACTTACCGATTTCACGACAAACAGCAACAATCAAGCGAGCGAACTTTGTCACCGTCGGCTGCGCTGAGTAGCCGAACACGCCGAACACAACAGTTGTCGGTGAAGTAAAAGCCAAAGCAAGCAACAACAACAAAATGCTTACCACTACCAAGATTAGTGAGTCAAGAAGCGAAGGCAAATGGTGTGGGGTCCACCACAATCGCCGCATTAATGAGACCAACAAAAAAAAAATAAGAGGAAGAAATTGTAGCGGTATCAACAACTCGCAAAGCGAAAAAAAAAGCAAAGATAACACCAACCAGCGAATCTAAAAACACCTTCAGTGGGCTTTGCTTGGCCAAAAGCGCCTCAGACCTCCTTGAGTGGGTGAATTTAATTCGTGGAACGCACTTGTAATTATGTACACACATTCAAACACACATACATATATGTATGTGTATGCACATGTATGTGGTGGTGTTTTGCGGATGTTAGCCTTGTCTTAGCCGTTTAACGCAGCGGGTGCATGAAGCAGTTATTCTTTATCTAGCACACTTGCCTTTAAATCCGGTCTTCTCTACACCGACACTCTTACATTCACACACACTTACTCACAGTCGGTAGCTAACTAAATTAGAAACTATCAGCACCGCAATGCAACTCAGCTAGTAACCGTTCGCTCCACGAAGCTTGTTATGGCGCCTGTGGGATCGAGTGTGTGCGCGGGTTGTAGTTGGTGTGCATTTATGCATGTGTTGGTTTATTCGCTGCATACATAAAGTTCGGGTTATTTTTAAACTTAGATTACACGCTCTTTGTTGGTGGTGGTGTTTCAACAACTCCTCGTCCAGTACTG